TCTTGGAGCCACATACCAGAGGCCCTATAGGCCAGCACATGATGTCCCAGAAAACAATCATTTATCCTACTCTGGCTTCATCACCTCACCAAGCTATTGCTATTGCCACCTACCAACACATACATGTAACCCCATCCCACTTGAGAGATACCGTCTACAGGTGCAGGGACTCATTCCCTAAGGAGATGTAAACATCTACTCCCTCCTTAAAGAGAATCAGTGACAAACCAAAGTATGATCCATCAAAGTACAACCTGGGGAACCAATGGGTTTGTTGGGGTTACAGTGTGAGCGGGGATTAATGTCAGGAGCTTGAGCGACCAAAAATACCCACCACCAAAATTCTCACTCCAGCACAGATGATTTTTATCATAGCTACATAGATGTAGCGCTTACCCCCTTCAGTAAACCTTCCACACTCTATACAGCCTAGCACCTCTTACAGTGAGGACAGATTTACATGTAACTGGTCGGGAGATTCCAGAATCTCCTTCCCCTCCAAGGAAGGAACATCACCAGTCAACAAGCTCCACCATCTTAGGGATCTCTGGCAAGTAACACAGCTGCTCAGATGAAAACATTGGGTGTTATACTTGGAAGGAAACACTCTACAATGACCCACACATCTACACTTAAGAGTCCCATGCCTGCATGCTGACCATGCCTCCCCCACTTTAGGACACTGGCCTTGCTCACCCCTCCAAAATACTTACCACTGAACATGTAAGAAAGAAAGGATCAGAGCCCTTACAATCTGAGTGTACTTGAGAAATAATAACTTTTTGAAGTCTGTTGTTACTTATTACCACATTGCTGTCTCATCATTCTCTTGGGATTCATACTGTCATAGTTTTCAGAGGCCTTTGAAAAAAAGGCTGGAATTTTCTTTTCATTGTTGCCATCAATTTACACCAAGAAACATATTTGTTCCCATTTAACATTTTCTCAGGTCCTTAAATGTCCCCACCCCATACTCTGTTTTATAGTGTTTAAAGGACACTATGGAAGTAAGTCAAATGATCGAAGTGTCCTTAAGATATTTAGAGGTATTAGGTAGAAGTAGGCCTTTAATCCTAGCACTCTCAAGAGTAAGGTAGGCAGACCACAAGTATGAGGCTTTCCTGGACAATTCAAAAACCAGAAGATGCACTTGGAAACTTAATGAAATACTGGAAGTTGGAAATATTGATACAATGCTACCATATATGTATAACTACTTACCATTTGTGTGGGCTTTGGTAAGGAACAAATTGTGAGCCTTAGTTTTATTCTAAAAGTAATGACTCATCTAACATATCAAAAGATTAAATAAGGTAATATAAATGTGAATGTAGATTTTATTCATGAAATATTTGCATAAATACGGTTTATTGATATAATTTTTTTCTGTGTGGTACCAATTACACAATTTTTAAGGCATGCGATACTTAGAGTATTACAATAACCAACAGTGCAACTTAAACCTCAGAAACAATTAGAAAAAGTGTGGTAAACTTAATGACTGTCTAGTCCCCAGCAACCTTTAACCCAATGATCCAACCCAGTCATTCAATAAATGCTTACGTCCAGGCTAGTGACACATGCCTATAATCCCAGCACTCCAGAAGCAAAGGCAATGAATTCAAGATGACCCTTGGCCACATAGTGAGTTCAAAGCCACTTAGTGGAAGCCACTTAGTGAGAGCCTGTCTCAAAAGACAAAGGCCTGGAGATGCAGCTCAGTAGTAGAGTATTTGCCTAGCATTCAAAAGGACCTTAGTTCAATACCCAACACTACAATCCATCAATTAACATATACATAAATATTGGTTACAGGTTGCAGGTTATTTTCAGGTAACTCTTCCAATCACTAGTAAATATATAATAAAGTAGAATACACACACACACACACACACACACACTTCTATTGTCATGGAAAGAAAGGACCAAAGGAAACCAATTATTAGTTCTTGGTAGTGGTCAAAGTTATGATGCACAAGGCAGGATAAGGGTTAAAGAAAGTAGTCAAAGAAGGTCTCTCTGGGCAGTGAAGGAGAAAAGTCTATTGATAACTGAGTGAACATTCCAATGTCTGGGACAAGCTTGTTTGTGGTACTGCTTGAGAAGAGGAAAGCCAGGGAAGCCATGTGTGACCTTGAACACTGCTAGTTAGTCTATGTCAGCTTGACACAAACAATAGTTATGGGGAAGAAGAAACCACAATTAAGGAATTGCCTCTATCAGACTGTCCTCTGGGCACATCTGTGGGGCATTTTCTTGATTGATGATTGGTATGGAGGACCCAGTCCACTGTAGGCAGTGTCATCGCTGGGCAGGTGGTCCTGGGTTGCATAAGAAAGCAAGTTCAGTAACAGAATTACTCGATGGTCTCTGATCTGGGCTCTGCTGAGTTCCTGCCCTGACTTCCCTCAGCAATAAACTACTATCTGGAAATATAAGCCAAATGAACCCTTTCCTCACCAAGTTGCTTTTGGTCATGATGTTTATCACCAAAAGCAAACTAGAATACATAATACTATGATGAGAGGACATAGCAAAAAAACCAGAAAGCCAGATTCATAGCTGATAAGATCACATAGTAAAATCACCAAATGCTCATCTCTCTATCTTTTGTAGCTTTTATTTTTAACTTGGGGTATGGTCATATGTTTGCTGAAATATTAACCTTTGTGTGTGCTTGTAGAAGGCAGAGCTAGAAAACACATGTCTTTTTCTATGGCTCTCCATCTTTTTTTTTTTTTGAGACATTCTATGATTGATCCTAGAGCTCACTAATTGGTTAGATATGCCCCTCCATATCAACCACCACCACCACAGACCAGCACTGAGGTTATCACCAACAAAAACAACCACATCACCACTGCTGCCTAGCACTGAGGTTACCACCACCACCACCACTGCTGACCAGCACCGAGGTTACAGATGCATGCTCTCACACCCAAGTCATCGCATCCAGCTTTTACATGTGTTCTTGGGATCCAAAGTCAGGTCCTCATGCTTAAGTAGCAAGCACTTCACCCACTTTTACTCTTTGCTTTATTCTATTGTAGTAAATGCTATTCTGAGGTTCATGGGGAGGGGGAGTCCTATGACTCAACCATGGATATGGAACCACAGAAGTCATTGGGAAAGCCACTATCTGAGAAGCTTTGAAAAATAAAAACTTAATGAAATAGAAGTAAAGAGTAAAACCTGATATAGATGACTATAGAAACAGCAAGTGTCCACAATCTAGACAACTCTCTCAAACCTGCTACAAAATGAAGCCCAATAAAACAGAATTGGAGTTGGATGATCATGAGGAGTCAAGAAAGGATATGCTCCATTCTGCCTGTATGCCAAAGATGAAAGACTAGGAAAGGGGAGAGGGGGGCGGGAGATCAACTTAGTGGTACTCGGCAGAAGTAAATCCATGAGAAGTGATAAAAGAGAACACTGAGCTAGTCCACATGGGTAAAATTGTTAGGAGGGAAGGAAAGTTCCTTTTTAATAAGAAGGAAAGAGAAAACTGTACAGAGAGTGTAGTAGATTTGATGACAGGGAGGTATGGAAGCCTTCTGCTGGCTAGTGTTTTGTGGAATTCTGCCATCCACTGCCCTCTTGAAATTATCTATGATTACCATAGGTTCATCCTACTAGCATTCCTGCAGAACTACCATTTAGTTTACTCTCTATTTTATGATCTTAAAATCCATCTAATTAAGTTAAAATTTCAAATATACCTCTTATTGGTTTTTCTAACATCACTCAGGTTTTTTCTAACCTGTAAATGAATACCTAACAATAACAGTTTTCTGATTGTTCTCACTGACCTGGATTGGCTAGCACATACTACTATTGAACGATATCTACTTAATCCTACGCAAAGATAACCTCTGATAATAAGTGCTCACATCAAAATGAATAAATAAATGCTCACAGCATGTATCAGAAAGCATTTTTTACCTATTTTAAGGTAAGAGTTATTTCTTGCACATATAAATAATACATTGCTACAATTTGAGACTGTCATACAAACTTTCACAGAATGAGAGCTAAGAATAAATCAATACACATTTGAAGATATTTTCTACATTTTTTCCATCTTTTTACGTGGAAGGTCAGTTTCACTGTTTTGTTTTGTTTGAAACAGGGTTTCACTATGTATGTAGCCTTGACTGTCCAGGAACTGACTATGTAGACCACGCTGACCTCAAACTCACAGAGATTCACCTGCCTCTGCCGCCCAAAGGCTGGAATCACAGGTGTGAGCCGCCATCACTCAGCCAGTTCCCCTTTCAAAAAAATTACATTTATCCATTTGTTTACATCTGGGGGGCCCTGCAAGCCACAGGGTGCGTGTAAAGTTCAAAAGACAACTGGAAGAAGTCAGTTCTCTCCCTCAAACATGTGGGTCCCAGGGAACACACTAAGGTCATTCCCTGGACTGGTGGTTCTATAGAAAGCAGGTTAAGCAAGATATGTGGGGCAAGCCAGTAAGCAGCAACCCCTCCATGGCCTCTGCATCAGCTCCTGCCTCCAGGTTCCTGCCCTCTTTGAGATTCCGCCCTGACCTCCTTCATTGATGAACTACGATGTGGAAGTTTAAGCTAAATGAACCCTTTCCTCCCCAAGTTGTATCTGGTCAAGGTGCTTCATCGCACCTTAGAAACCCTAAGACAACTGGTATTATGACAGTTCTAATAGTCTCAGGTGGTGGCAATTCCCTCCATGTCATCTCATTTTTCCAGTCTCTTGAAGTAAGTGCAGTTGTTAAAAAAATACACACACTAAAGCCATATTTGGCCCGTTACAGCACTTTGCAAGTTATACTGTGCTTTGTCTATCCCCACCCCTCCCCCACCAGACAAAAACAACTCCGGATGCTGTCAAATTAGGAGCTGATTCATTTAGTTCATCCTTGTATCATTAATCTCAATACGAGACCAACAATGCTGAATCAATGAAAAGGTCCTGTAACCGGGAGTGCAGATGAAGGCCTCCTAGAAACCCCCACTTACCTGTGAGATCCAGAGTTCGGTCCACAAAGACCACAGAAGCCCTGCCAGGAGCCGTCTTCTTCCTGTTCTTGGCAGGGGCATAATTTGCCAGATCTGTAGCAATGACCCGACTGAGGGCACCCACAGCGAAACACTCCTCTCGTACCCCTAGATGCTCACACAGAGAACTGAGGCCTGACACCAGGCATCTAATGTGCAGCAGCAGCTCTGGGGTCAGGGCAGTGGCGTCCACTTCACTCACGTTGCCCAGTCTCCTCTTGTCGGGCCTGGCACTGTTAAGGAGATGTACGTCCCGAGGTAGCAGTGGGAAAAGGGTAGCGAAGGCAGGAGTAAAGGCAAGGTGGGGGGCAGCAGGGGCGAGCAGCAAAGGGACGTGCAGCACCTCGGCCGTGTAGTTCATGTTGCCCATCCACTCACATAGCTTCTCCTCCAACTGCTCGAACACAGGCTGCTGCCCCTCTAGCTCGGCCGCTGCAGCCGCTGGTACGTGGTTGGCAGTGAGGTGGACTGCGTGGCTCACGGCTGTGACCACCACACAGTACTGAAAGTGACTGCGCCGAATGATGTCTTGCAGAGTGTCTACAGTCCGGCCTTTCAGCAGGCAACTCAACACGAACACCGCCCGGGGCTGCTGGGCTCCACCGCCAACTGCCTGGGGCTCAAATTCCCGCAGGTTGCAGGCGGGGCCCTTCACGGCCTCCAGCAGCCGGCTTGACCCGCAGCTCCAGTGCAGACTTTCTGCGCAGGCGGCGTCCAGATAGACCACGGACCACTTCACTTTAGCCAGCACCAGCTCCCAGCCTTGCTGGGCGAAAGACAGGACGCCCGCGGAGCTCATGGTTGGGGGCTCGCCTGCGGGCCAGGGGCAACGCAGAGAACTTCAGCCAGAACTCAGAGCTTCCGGATACTCTGAGTACCTTGAGACTTTGACAGTCAACACAGTACACGTGGGCCAGTCGCTGACGCTCCAAGTCTGCGCGCGCGCGGTGATGACGTCCAAGGCGCTGATTGGCTGGCCAGGCGCGCGGGCTGGTGGGAGGAACCTCTATGCTGGGAATGGGTACTCGCTGTGCTTAGAGATTCAGTCATTCAGCAAAGCTGGGGTAGGATACTTTCGTAGAAGGAATTGAAGTGGGTTATGTTTGTCCCTCTCTGTCAACTCACGTCTCTTTTTCCCCCCAGTTAAGGATTCTCAGGAATAATAAGACCTAGCCCGAAGTTTACTCTTTTCAGCACAGGCACTTGCCCAGCTCAACTTTGAGCACCCAGAGAAAACAGGGATAATTACTGCAACATCGTAGTTTGTCGTGTATAAGCTATCTTCTGCATTATTGCACACAACCCTCGTGAAATACCTACTGGAACCAGCAAGATGGCTTGGCGGGTAAAAGCTCCTGCTACACAAGCCGGATGACCTGAGTTTGATTCATGGGACTCATGAGAGAGAGAGGGAGAGGGAGAGGGAGAGGGAGAGGGAGAGGGAGAGGGAGAGGGAGAGGGAGAGGGAGAGGGAGAGGGAGAGGGAGAGGGAGAGGGAGAGGGAGAGGGAGAGGGAGAGGGAGAGGGGGAGAGAGAGGGAGAGAGGGAGAGAGAGAGAGAGAATGAAAAACGTGGTGCTGACAGTGCTTACCCTCAAGCTAGCCAACAAGGTCTATTCTCTTATTTGACTACTTCCTTATGCCTGACTAAAATTCCAAGGTCCAGCAATCAAAATTCATTATTTGACTACATTGACTAACGTGTCATCCTAACACAGACTTCTCCTTTTTTATTTTAAAACCATTCCTGCAGAAGAAACACCTGCTGCTGTTTTGCCTCACCCATGGAGGAGGGGGTAACAAAATCTATGTACTGAGAATTTGGTGTCTGGGTGTGTTCTGTGCTGACTCCAGGAAAGTTGTATTCCTCCGATCTGCACATGCTCACTATGGCAAGCGCATAACCCCCCCCAACACAACACACACACACAAGGAAAATTTTCTCTTTTCGCAATCTTTCCTCCTACGTCTAAATCTTGATCTGCTTCAAAATTTGTATCTTCTAGTTCTTCATCTTTGCTATCACCCCAGCTAACATCTTCACTCATATGCACAACAAACGTTTACCCAACATTTCTGCTTGCTAAGCTTCAAGATCCAATGTTCACTTGAAACCACTTCCTTACATACAAAAAAAATTATACCTAGTAAATCTTACTCTCTCAAAGCAAATTCCAATCCTACCTTTCAGTTTATGGTATTTTCTAACTCATCACCTCTACCAGTCTTTTTGTCAGAATTGACAGACATATAGCATTCAGTCGAACCGTTTCCTAAACATGCTTGTCACATTACTGTGCTGAAGTTCTAACATAGCTGTTTTTCTTAACATATTTATCACTAGGGTGTACACCAGAGGACTGGAATCACCCAACCTGAATTTTCAAAGCTGAGATGTATAAATAAAAGTTCTCCAAAGAAATATGAACAAGAATTAGAAAAGAAAAACAGACAAGACTAGGGCAAGTCTTTACTTTCTTTTCTAAGTATTGGAAATTTTTACTGCAGTTTTAGGAATAAGAATAATTTGTATGCCTGTAGGTTTTTTCCAGGTTATCATGTGGAAAACTTATTTGAAATCTTACACGCACACCCACACACAATCAAAAGACTTTTTGGTTCATTTTACAACTACTGAGATTTAGCAAACTGAAAGAGAATAAGGTTGAGGAATAAGTATACTGATCTCCATCTGAGACCTGTATTTTTATTTAATTGTGGAAGCATGCATAAGATAATTAACTAGCCAGGCAGTGGTGGTGCACGCCTTTAATCCCAGCACTTGGAAGACAGAGGCAGGAAGATTTCTGTGAGTTCCAGGCCAACCTGGTCGACAAAGTGAGTTCCAGGACAGCCAGGACTATTTCACAGAGAAACCCTGTCTTAAAAAATTAAGTCGTGTGTGTGTGTGTGTGTGTGTGTGTGTGTGTGTGTGTGTGTGTGTAGACAGGATCTCACTATATAGTTCTGACTGTCCTGGAACTTACTCTGGAGACCAAGCTGAATGCAAACTCATAAAGATCTGCCTGCCTCTGCCACCTCGTGAATCCCCTTGAGTTGTAATTATAAGGGATTATGAGTCACCAAATGCGAATGCTATGACCTGAACTCGGGTCTACTGCAAGAGCATCAAAAGCTCTACATCACTGAGACATCTCTCCAGCCTCAGTTTTTGTTTGTAGTTTTCATTTTATGCTGAATAATATTCTGTAGTATGCATAGAGTGCATTGTGTCTATTCATTTATCCATCAATAGACATTTGAGTTTTGCCACTTTGGGGCCTTTATGAATAATACTGCTCTAGACATAGGTGCACAGATATCTTACATATTTTGCTTTCCTTCCTTTGGTTGAAATTGCTGAATCATATAGTAAGTACTTTTAGATTTTCTGAGGAACCTATGTTCTTCACAGTAGGTGTAACATTTACATTCCCACTGCCAATGCACAAGAGTTCTATAGCCTATTGAATATTTTATATATTCTCTTTAAAGTAGCCATATAACTTGTAAATATGTATATTGTTGTAAAAATACTTGGAGACATACAGTCAGAAATGACTACCAGGATCTACGGCCATACCACTCTGAATGCACCCCATCTGGTCTGATCTCAGAAGCTAAGGAGGATTGGACCTGGTTAGTACTTGGATGGGAGAAATGACTACCAGGTTGCTGGATATATGATTCTGTCTTGTAAGAGACAAGTCTGGTAATTTGGCGATCATTAGCATAGTCATACTGAGGCTGATTTAAGAGAGTATGGAGAATTTAGAAGATAAGGGTATGATGAAGAAAGTTCTGAGAAACCTTGGAGGAAGGATTCAGATGAGAAGCCTGGGTTTGACATCACAAGGGATGTTCACTTCAAGAACAGATTGGCCAGTGGTGACCAGTGCCAGAGAAGTGAAATGCCAGTAAAGAGGAATGTGCAAATAATCTATTGGATTTAAACCTGTGCAAGAATACAGGACAGCAAGACAGATGGAATAGCAGATGGGGGTGGCTAAGAACCCTAGGAACTATCTCTATGATGTTGAAGGAAATAAGGTGTTAAAGGAATGAGGAAGAAAGTTGAACAAGTGCAAGGTTGAAGTCAAAGAATGTAGTAGGCCTCTACTTTTCCTGATGAACAATTGCAGAATTTGATAAAAATCCATAAGTAGCCTTGAAAAGAAAATACTGGATCTCTAATTTTCTTGGTGAACAATTTTCAGAATTTGATAAAATCCATGGGATAGTCTTGACTGTAGACTGCTGGAGTGAAGTAAGTGGTGATGATGGTTGTGTGGATTTCAGAACGTAAAAAATAAAAGAAAACAAGTAGGATATGCAAGCCATGTATTGTGATGCTGAGTGGTGGGGAGGAGACTACTTGATCCCATGTTCAATCCTGACCTCCTTTGTGCACATGGAGAAGTGAAGAAGCAGGGTAGAGTGGTTAAGGAGAGTGGTATGAACTCAGAAGAGGAGAATTTTCACAGGGACCTGAAACCACAATGCTCTGATGGTAGTCTATGAGGGCCAAAAGACTGACAATATTATCTCCAGACTCCACAGACAGCTCTTCTTATGAGGACAGTAATCTCTGTTCCATTCAGAAGGACCTAGTTCTTTCAAATACCATAACATAGTAAATGTGAGATTTCAGCATAGAAGTTGGGGGTGGGGGGCTTGGGCCATAGCTACTCTGTAGCAGTAATATGTGGAAACAACGTATTTTAAAACTCTAAAATATATGAGTATAAATCACGAGTGATCCATGCTCACTGTACATGTAGCTGCTGGTAGACCATGAGTAACATGAGTAAAGAAGCTTAGATTTCTGTTTACATTAAGAAAGAGCCATTGAAATGTTGTGTGTGACTTGAATTGTTATGTGACAGTGGGGACAGAGAAAAGTTGGCAGATTTGGGGTACATTTTGTAGAAAGTACTAACAGATGTTGTTAATGGATTTTGTAGATTCATAAGAGGCATAGCTAAGAGGAAATGGAGAATCAGAGGTTTGAAGGTTTTGAGCTGATATTATTATTTGGATGTGGTTACTAAAACTGAGATGCATACAAACCTGGGGATGTGTGAGAAGGGACTGACAAGTTTGAAAGGATAATTTATTAGTTCTACTTTGGCCATGGGATTGAAATACCTACTAGCTGCTCAAGGGAATTGCTAGGTAAACAAAAAAAGCTGGAGTAAAAAACCTTTTCTTTCAGATGTTATGGTGTAGAAATGGAGTTCTTATTTTTAAAAAATGAGCTCTTTAAAACTATCATTGGGCTGGAAAGATGACTTAGTGATTAAGAGCACTGACTGCTCTTCCAGGGGACCCTGGTTCAACTTTCAATACCCATATGGCAGCTCTCAACTGTCTGTTAACTCTAGTTTCCAGGGTACCTGAAACTCCCTGTGGAAAAAACACTAAATCACATTCAAAATAGAAAAAAAGACTATCACGTTTACCTTATTAGGCTGTAATGTGTATATCTCTATAGAAATAGTCATTATGTTTCCCTTCTTATAAAATCGTGTCTACATTCTTTATAGGTGTGGTCAGAGCTTATATGAAAATGTAGTGAGGGTTTTCCACACAGTGACATTATGAGATAGGATCTGGAGAGATCAAAGATAAGAATGTTTTGTTCTTATCATTCAAAGGTATAAGAACTCCACACAGCAGCAGAGAAGTGAATAGGCTATGATGCAACTTTCCAGAGACAAGTAGCACTGTAAAACTTCTTGTCAAAAGATGCCAAGATACAGAGACTAGTGTAGCAGCTGGGGCTTAATTCTTCAGACCAATGTATTAAAAAGGAAACTTCTCTATGGGTACAGATACTCTGGCATGTCAAAGGAGAAAACGCTGAGTATACAGGACACCAGCTGGCCACTATCTAGTCAAAAGTTTTCTTTATCTGTTTTCCATGCAGGTATATCATGCATGTGTATATACAGGTATGTGGGTGCACATATATATCTGTGTGTGTGTGTGTGTGTGTGTGTGTGTGTGTGTATTCATGTGGAGGCCAGAGGTCCATGTTGGGAATCATCCTTAATTGTTCTTCATTATTCTTACTTGTTCTTAATTATTCATTGATTTAGGGCTGCTCAATCAAACCCTGAACTTGACAGTATGGATAGTCTTACTAGCAAGCTTGTTCTTGGGGTACCCCATCTGAGGATAGAATTACAGGTGGGTTGACAGGCTCATCCAGCATTTATGTGGGTTCTGGGCATCTGAACTCTAGTCTTCACACTCACATGGCAATTACTATAACTGCTGAGTCATCTCCCCAACCCATAGTCAAATGTTTTCAAGTTTGACACCTCCATTTTATCTGCTATTCTTTCAACAGTCGATGTAAAGAAACATCAATCAATGTATGGACTTACTGATATGTAAATTAAAGAACACTGAGATTTTATTAAGTGACATCTCATATATTACCAACGAACAGCGACCTAGAGTCTAGACAATCTAACCATTTAAAAAACCTTTATGAACATGATATTTCCACATACTAGTTACTGGACCTGATATTTTAAATTAGATTTTAACTCTTGGCATCATCTTGTTTGTTTGTTTTCAGATGGGGTTCTTTCTCTACATAGCCCTGGCTGTCCTGAAACTTAGAGATCTGCCTGGTTTTGCCTCCTGATTGCTGGGTTTAAAGGCATATGCCACCATACCTAGCCTCTTGGCATCATCTTAATGGTAATTCATTGTCTATTCTTTATAATTATATACTCCATTTCAGTACTTCTCAGGAGTCTATATCATATCAAAATAAACCATTATTATTGGCATTATTTTGAGATGCAGTCTTACTATGCTGCCCATGCTGATAACTTGTGAGCCTGAGTGAACCTCCAGCCTCAGTCTCCAGAATACCCGGGAGGACAAGTGTGTACTACCAGGCTTGGTTTACTACTATTATCCTTGTTATTATTGTTGCTAAGAATAAATCACAATAAGTAATGAAGTGGAAACAAATATACTCAGGATAAGTGTAATATTGTAGTGTGCTGAGGTAATAGCATAGGAAGTGAGAGGCAGTCTACAAAATAGTCAAATTACTACTTATATACTTAGTTTCCCATGGCAAATGGACAGATAACGACTCCTTAACCACAGTCAAATTGTTGAGCATACCCACACAAGGAATTCTGTTTGGGAGGGGAAGAGAAGAGGCCTGTTAAGGATGGTTATTAATGATTTATGGGCTTCTCTGCTTGTAGAAGTCATTTCAGATCTTAGCTTAAGTACTACCTCCACTACACAGGCAATTCTAATGCATCCAGCATCATTCATAAATTCTTTGGTTTAGTCTAAACAATGTTTTAAAAGGCAAACTCCCTGTAGGCTGGAAGGAAAAACAGTCTGCCCTGCAAAAAGACAAGCGACTCTCTCATGAAACCACCAAATTTTATTTTAGATGCACAAAACAATGAAAATAGATACAATCACAGTGGTTGCCTGTGGTACTATCAAGCAGATAGCAAGCCTTCTTTCATTTCTTTTATCAAAGGCCAAAAAGATATTGTGCACTGTGTAACAGATCAGAGTGAAAGATAAAATAAAGGCCTGTCACCTGAGCAGTAGAAATGTTTACAGGTTTGTCTACAGCTCGATTTTATGGAGGCATTTTCTCAACTGAGTTTCCCTCCACTCAGATGACTTGCTTGTGTTGACATTAAACTATCCAGCTATAGGGTCTCTCTATATAGCCCAGGCTATCCTGAAACTCACTATGTAGGTCAGGGTGGCCTTGAACTCAGAGATCTGCCTGTCTCTGCCTACCAAGTTCTGGAATCAAAGGCGTGTACCACTATGCCCGGTGCTAATACTTTTTTAAACAAAAAGAACGCATTCTTTATATATTTTAAATTTTCTTTTGTTGCTTGTTAAAATTTCGACGAATGACTAAATGAGAAACCGGCAGACTAGTATGATTTTTGTATCATGTACACACGTGGGAGATTTTAAAATTAACAAATGGTGGGGGGAGAAAACATCAAGGGCAGAAAAGAACAACGGGAAACCGAGGATTGGGAAGGGTGAATGTGGGGGAAGGGAACTTCAAAGAACACTGGAGGACTGAGCAAAAGCCACTCTGAAAAGCAAAGCTGGAATCCTAGGGGTGGGGGAAGGGGAGGAGCCAATCGCGCTGCGCACGCGCAATGAGGCCCAGGTGCCGACCGCCGCGGAAGGGAAGCCACCTAGAGACGCCGCGCCGCTTGGGTGCTGCTACGCATGCGCAGGCGGGCCAGAGGCCGAATCTTCATGGTCGCTCTCTCCGCGGAGATCCACCTTGGATTTGAGTCTCGCGCTCTCCTCGTTCGCTTACCGGCGGGTTCGCTCCCCTTCTCGAGCCCCGGGACAGCGAGGCTGGGGAAGGGGTTGAAAGGGCTGTTGATCGCCGCCTTTAACTTGTGCGTGGGGCGGCCATGTCGGCCGGCGAGGTCGAGCGCCTGGTGGAGCTGAGCAGCGGGACCGGAGGGGATGAGGAGGAAGAGTGGCTGTATGGCGGTACGGAACTTCCTGTCTGTCTCCCGGGTTCTCTCTGGCCTTCCTCCCCGGCGTCGCAGGCCCAGGCGTCCGGGGCCTCTCATACTAGCCCTGGCCGGCCTGAGTTAGGCCGAGCGCGGCCTGCTCCTCCCGGCCCTCGCCCGGACCCGCAGCCGCTCACCGCGCGGTGGACGCGGGCCAAGGAGGCCGGGCAGCCCCGCTTCGCCCTCCTCCCCACCGTCCCGGCCTCCTCGCTTCTGCGCTCTCTATTCATGCCCTTTCTATCGATCCCGAGCTGCTTCGGTGTGCCTCTTGCTCGTTGGTTGTTGGGTGCCCTTTCTCGTCTCTTCCTTTCAGAAACAGTCATTCTGTAATTACGGCTAAATAAAGTTAATGCTGTAAAACTAACGTCTTGTTTCTTGATGGTCAGTTTGTGTGGAATGCACCTGCAAGGGTACCTCCTTGTCTGAAAGTCGTGCTTTAAAAAATTTAATTAAGAGAGACAGATGGAATACACTATGGCCCATAAAGAATTGTCTCCTGTATTAAGGTGAAGTTTTACTTTTTTTAAGAGACTGCTCTATAGTCCACGTCATAGTTGTACCTCGTGACTCTTCCCTTTAGGCTTGTTTTCAGTGTCATGTATTTCTGTCTGCTTAAATTTAATGTATCATGTACTTTGTTTTTGTAGGGGACATGTCTTATGTCTGGATTTTAACTTTAATTAAGTCATAATTTTGTTCTTGCCAAGAACATACATTCTTGACTGTTTGAGAATATTATACAAGAGTGCATGTAGGAATCTAGGCAGCTCTTTAGTGATGTAACTGATACATTTACTAAATTTGTAAATTTCTTTAATGGAAAAATTCAGCATCATCAGTACCCTTAACGTGAAATGTGCAGGGTTTCTCGTACCAAGATGTGTAAATCCTCATTACCTCTTAAACGTATATAGTGTTGAAATCTTGATTTTTTTTTTCCGTAATGGATGTATCCTGTTTATGAAGTGTTCTAACTTTGGCTATGCTTGTAGGCCCATGGGACGTGCATGTGCACAGTGATTTGGCGAAGGATCTAGGTTAGTGCTTGTTTCCTTCAGATTCTTATAATACTTGTTGATTTAAGCTTAATTTCTTTATTTACTCTATTTCATTATTTTATTTGGTAGATGAAAATGAAGTTGAAAGGCCAGAAGAAGAAAATGCCAGGTTGGTGACCTTTCCTGTTGATGTTTTATGTAGATTGTGATTCGAACAAGTTGTCCACTGTTTCAATACAGTCCTTGGCTTAATTACATTTTCACCAGAGTTTGGAGGACTCATTCTATTTCAGGACCAGTTCTTTGTTGGCGACTAGTAGCTTATAAGACAGTGTTTGGAGTTAAGTACCAACTTTTCACCATTGAGTACTTTGTGCTCTTAACTGAGGTTAGTAGTGGTGTATATAATGTAGTTGGTTGGTCTTTTGTAGTTGTTGTTTTTTCCCCCAAACAAGGGTTTAGCTGTGTACTCTATGTAGCCCTGGCTGTCTTGGAACTCCATTTGTAGGCCAGGCTTGCCTTGAACTCAGAGATCCACCTGCCTCTGCCTTTTGAGCACTGGGACTAATGGAATATGCCCTTAGACCTGGCTGAATGTTGTTGAAACTTGAGAAAAAAAATTGCTTTGAGATTTTAAATAATAACTGAAAATTGTTGCTTTCATAATTTATTAATGTTTTTATAATATTTACTTTTGGTGAAAATTTTTTTGAGATGGCTCTTACTATGTTAGGCCTGGAAATGACTTTGTAGAAGAAGCTTTCCTTGACCCCACAGACATCTGCCTGACTCTGCCTCCTGAGTACTAGGATTAAAGGCCTGTACCACTGTGCCTGGCTGGCTGTAATTTCAGTGCTCTGTTTATTTAAATTCATAATGGAACTAATTTTTAGAAAGGAGTGAGCGATGCTTCTCTACCATGCACACAATAGATAATTGTTTTTAGAAGTTGATTTCTTTTGTTACTACCCAAAATTTTGTATTTAACAGAGTGTGTTTGGGGAACCAAACATTTATTTGCTCAAAATTTCAATACATCTCATGCATATAAGTACATGGCTAAATTGTCTTTACTTTGATCAGAAGACTGTCTTGATATAATGAGGGGAGGAGTGGATTTTGGGTTTTTTGTTTGCTTGTTTTGTTTTTTTAATTTATGGGCATTGATGTTTGTCTTCATGAGGGTGTCAGGTATCCTGGAGCTGGAGTTACAGACAGTCTTGAGCTGCCGTGTGGGTGCTGGGGATTGAATCTGGGTCCTCTGGAAGCACAGCCAGTGTTCGTAACCACTGAGCCATCTCTCCAGCCTGGGAAGGAGTGTTTTAAACAGAGCAATCAAGGACTGGAGAAGTGGCTCAGTTGGTGAAATGCATGGAGCCGAAACATGTGTACATAATGAATGCATCCTAGGGGAGACTTAGACAGCAGGATCTCTAGCCCTCACTCTCCATTCACTCTTTATTGGTGAACTCCAAGTTTAATGAGAGACTGTCTAAAAAAGAAGAGATAAAGGTGGAAAGCTACTGGGAAGCTTCCTGATGTTTTGGGCCTCCACACGGCATGCACAGGTGCATGCACAAACCTGGACATGGATGAATCACACACAGAGCATTTATCTCGACTTTCAAGTGGAGGGGATAATACCTCATACCTAGCAGAATTATCCAAAAGGTAGAACAGCGATAGTGAGGATATGGAGAAACTGAACGGTTCATATACTGTAAATAGTATTCCCTCTTGGAAGAATACTCTGGTAGCCTCTTCACATGATCAGAGTTCTACTCACTTTTACTTAGAGAAGTGAAAACATGCATGAACATAAGAACTTGAACATCAGTGTTCTTAGCATTAACTATAGCTAGTTGGGAAAATAGAAATAACCCAACTATCCACAAACATACAAATTAATAGATTTGATGCGCCGGGCATTGGTGGCATACGCTTTTAATCCCAGCACTCAGGAGGCAGAGGCAGCGGATCTATGTGAGTTCAAGGCCAGCCTGATCTACAGAGCGAGTTCCAGGACAGCCTCCAAAACAATACAGAGAAACCCTGTCTCAAAAAAAAAAAAAAAAAAAGATTTGATGCAGTGTACCCTTTTGGGGATATTTCATGGTAGAAGGAAATCAAGTACTGACTTGCTACAACATGGGTGAACACATATAAAGTATTCAGAATAAGCAAATCCATAGAGACAAAAAGATCAATATTGTGGGATAGGAGAAAATGGAGTGATCGGTGATAGGAGATTTCTTTTGGGAGTCCCTGTATTCATTTTAGGATTTCATAATGTAATGGTTACACTGTGTGAACAAAATTATAGTCTTGAACAGATATGAGTTATGTCTTAACTTTGTCTCTAAATTGAATTGTCAGAGATCCGTTATAAGTAAATTCTTTTGCATCCAAAAAATAAAATAGAATGAAAAGGAAGCTAAACCCCAAAGACAGATACATAGAAATGAGGAGTGAAAGTGGAAATAGCTTTGGCAGAGCTGAAATTAGCAATGTTCTTCCAGATATACCCTCCTTTTCTTCTGCTTATTTCTGTGTTATCTGACAGGCCTTTAGTCCCAGCACTTGGTAGGCAGTGGCAGGTGGATCTCTGTGAGTTAGAGGCCAGCCTGGTCTACATACAGATCAAGTTCCAGGACAGCCAAGGTTACACAACAAAATCTTGTCTTGAAAAAACAAAAACAAAATGTTTTTTGCATATTCATTTCATTAAGTGTCAAGAAGTTGATTGCTGGGTAGAATTATAATCCCATATACATCACGTTTTTATGGATTAATCCTTGTCTCTGAGTTTTGTTACTTAACTACAATTCTCAGTTCACTTTGATTGGGTTGTGGTTTTTTGTTTTGTTTTCTAATTTTACCTGTATTGGTGTTTTCCCTGCATGAATGTCCATACATTGTGTTCATACCTGGTGCCTGTGGAAGATAGAAGGCATTGCATCTGCTGGGGCTGCTGTTTAGATGGTTGTGAGCTGCTATGTGGGTGTTGGGACTCAAACCTAGATCCTGGGAAAGTAACACCTGCTCTGAACCAGCTCTCCTTCCTCAAAGTTGGCTCTTGAATTCTCTGGGACACAGCTTGATAGTTCATTGGAATTAATCCATTTCTGCCTTCTTCCAGTACTGTTGCCTGTATTTGTTGTTAATTTCATTTGAAGTGCTATGTGTGTCGTGTCCCATGGGATGGTATTTGTCTTTTACATTGATTTGATTTTATCATTCATATATTTTAATGGCAATAAGGAGTTGAAAGTTCTAAAGGATTATGTCTAGTGGAAAAAGGAGTTCAGGCCAAGTTAGGATGCAGCTTGGTACATCCTTGCATTATCCTGCCCAGATCCCTGCTGTTGAATTTGCCCATTTTCATTGTGACTGATTAATTGCTGAAGCCTTACATTACACTGTTCGTAAGCATTGCATCACACTAATATCAATGCAGTTACGATTTATGTGTCCGGGTTTTAACTGAATATAGTACACTGTCCTGTGAAATGGAAACACACTGAGGCTTCATTCCACTGCTTGCAGGACTGTGCATACAAACAAGTGAACAAAACTTGTTTTTGACTCTCTAGAAGTTTATTTAAGCCAATTAGTGAATTAAGAAGGATTCTAATGGAATATTTCTCTTGAGTCCAGTGTTAGGATGTTTTCTTGTTAAATGACACAATTTTTGTTGCAAAACAAGTCAAATTTGCCTTCTAAAAGTGATTAGTTTTAAAATTCATCTAAAGTGGGCCTGGGGCCCCTTATTACTGTAAATTTGAGGGTAGTCTTCCATGTTTTACAATGTTGAAATTTTGTTTTCAATATAATAAAGGACCTATGTGAAGTTAGTGGAACAGCAAAGCAGGCAGAAATGTGTGCGCCAACTGAGCACTGAAAGAATTAATGTGATCCTGTCGTGTAGAGCTTCCTGGGTTCCTGGGATAAGTGAAGCCATATTATGTAGTCCTTGACTATTTTATAGTCCTTGGCACACAGCAGATACTTAGTAAAGATTCACAAGGTAAAAGTGGTATGTTCAGTGTAAACTTGAATTGTGTCCTACCGCCACATTGTATGCCTTTAAGAAATTGTTGGGCAGAGAGTGGTGACACACGCCTTTAATACCAGCATTTAGGAGGCAGAGGCCAGCTTGGTCTACATGGTAAATTCAAAGAGTCTGTCTCAAAAAACCAAGTAAGCCCAATCCTTACTTCCATCTGAATACTCGCTTTATGTACACTAACAGAAAACTAGACAGTCACCAGGCTTCTTGTCATCATCCAGTAGAAATAATAACTAGGAAATCCTACTAAAGATAGCTTGGAACTATAGTGTAATCCATGCTTGAAGCAGCAGCACCCAACCTGTCTGATTGCTCTCTTTTGTTGTAGTGCTAACCCTCCAGCTGGAATCGAAGAGGAAGCTGCTGAAAATGGCGTGTCAAAACCGGTAACATGCATATCAGGCTTTGAAATCCAGTTATTTGATGTTTAAAATCTCTGTTGAGAACTTCAGTTTATTTACAAATAAAACCAGTATTTAACATAATCTTCAGTATCCTGTATGACTTGACCCCTTTGTCAACTGCTCCATCTGATAGCATGAAAAGAATATGTAGGACTTAGGGAAGAGAAAAAATACTGGGAAGAAACTTCAGAGGACATACAGCAGATGCAAAGGCTTGCTGTGTATTATTTTCCAATAACTAAATAGTTGTAGATAAACAGACTGTTGTAAGTAAGCTTGATTTCCAAAGCCAATGTTGAGTCCACAACCCAAGCTGTCTTTCTTAGCAATACTGTCAAAAGGGTATATTCCTGATTCTGGCTACTGAAATGGTTCTTGGTGCCCTCTGAGAGTTGTACACTTTAATCCTGAATAGAGAGGGAAAATTGTGTTTATTTTTTGTTTTTTTCAAGCTTAAAATTATAACTAAGAAAGTATTTGCCTTGGTGACATGATGTAACTAAAATATAACAAACTTTTCGACCCATACTAAAACCATTGTAAGCAGATCCATTTTAGTTAGAAAAAGATAATAATGCTTCTTTTTTATTTGTATGTAGAGTCTCCTCCTATTTTACTGATGGTCTTGCAAAATGAATCTAAGGAAATGTATCTATAACAGAATTTTTTTAAAAATAAGTGCTTGAGAAATTCATATGAGTAAAACATCTGTGAGATTCAATGTCAGTATTAAAAATTAATAGTTAAAAGAATTGAAAACATGAAGCATATATTCTCTGAAAGATGGCAATAAAAGTTCTGTTTCTTATTTATAAACTCAATTATTATAGACCATCAAAGTTGGAGTAATAATTTTATAAGCTTGTAATTTTTACTCTAAAACAATTTCAGAAAAACATAGAATAATTAAATTTTTATTTGTTAAGAGCAAATGCTGAGTTGGATTATTGAGTGTATTTTGCAATTGTTTATGCTGGTATAGAAAGTGACGGAAACTGAAGATGATAGTGACAGTGACAGTGATGATGATGAGGATGATGTTCATGTCACTATAGGAGACATTAAAACTGGAGCACCACAGTATGGGTAAGTTATTTTTACCTTGTTTATTGGGGGTATGGGAGGGTATCATATATGCTATGATTTGCATATATAGATCAGAGAACTTATTAAAAGTCAATTTTCTGTTTCCACTTAAGTCGTTGGGGCATGGCTACAAGTGCCTTTGCCTTGGCAGCCCTAAGTTATGCTTTTATGAATACTACCTTGTGAAGATGTTGTGCTTAGATTGTCAGTGGTTGATTCTATACATATACATTTTCCATCCTTGCATTGTATGAAAGAACTTGTTACGGTTTCAACAGGTAGTTAATTACTTTCTACCTACTGTTAATCTGCAGGTACATGGAAGCATGATGGGAGATGTCAGTCTGTAAATATGTCTCTCTTATTGGTTGATGAATAAAGCACTGTTGGCCAATAGGGAAGCAAGATAGGTGGGGCTAGGAGTTGAGGATGATTTTGGGAAATGTAGTCAAGAGTAGAGAATCGCCATGTGATCTCAGGAAAGAGGAAGCATCAGGATACGGTCCTCCGAAAGATAAGTCCTTATAGAAATGTATATTAGTAGTCATGGGTTAATACTTAAGACACAAACAGCCAATGAGAAGCCCTGGATATTGACTGACAGTATTGTAACTAATAGAGTCTCCGTGTGTTATTTTGGAGGCTAAAGTGGCGATGAGACCCAGGTAGGAATCCTGCAACATAAGCAGCCATATCTGATTGCTGCATTTAAAACATTTTTTGCTAGAGAACTGACTAGGATGAGGTTTTTGGTTGGAAATGGACCATCTAAATTGCCATTTACATTTATGTCTTTTTGTTATTGTTTTTTTTTTCATTTTATTACATAAAACTTTAGTTTAGATCTTTAATTTTTATATCCAATACAAACTAACATATTTCTTCTTGGTCACCATAATTTTTTTTTTTTTTACTTAATTATGTGTCAGGCCTTTTAGGCCAGTGTGTTGACAGCAACATTTATGTTCCATAAGCTGGGCCAAGTAAATGAACTATTGTTGACTCACTGAACACATAGGGATCTTGAGGGATGGGAAGAAAACACATTAAAATGGATTGTGGTTTTGTTATGGTGGTAGAATTAAGAGTTTTGGAGATTTTTAATATGCTATATAAGATGACTCCTGGAACCCTTTATCTTTGGGAGTTTTTTTGTTTTTGTTTGTGTGTTTGTTTTGCTTTGTTTTTTGGTAATTATTAATCATTTTGAATGGGACAATATGGAATCTCAGTGTTGTCCTGATGACTAAGATGTTTATTGACTATACGGACTGTTCATTGTTTCATTAGTGTGTTTATGGTTTGGGTTGTATGGGTTTTTGGTTTTTGAGTTTGAGTTCTTTATATATTCTGTGTATTAATTCTCTGTCAGATGTGTTGTAGGCCCTCTTCACTGAGTGGTAATTGAAAGAGTTTGACTTTATCTGAAATAGAAAAAATTTCATGTAATTCTATTTGTCAGTTCTTGATTTTACTTCTTAAACTGTTGTACTCATTTTCAGGTAGAACTTGTTAGTACCCCTTATTTTTCATAGCATAGCTTTTTGAGAATTTCAAGTTTGATAGTTTTGTTCAGGGTAAGATATAAGGATTTATTTATACTCTTCTAAAGGTGCCCATTCACTTTCTCTAACATCATTTGTTGTAATGTTGATGTCTTTGTTGAAGCTCAGGTGACTATATTGTGTGAGGTTTTTCCTGAATATTCTGTCCATTATCTAATATCTGTTTTTGTTACTGCTCTATAGTATCACCATCCAGTATGATGGTGTTTCTGGCATTGTTCTTGTTTGGGATTGCTGTTAAGTTCTTCATGTTTCTGTATGAATTTTAGACTTTTTTTTGTGAAGAATGTCACTGTTATTTTGGTGGGGATTGTATTGAATTAAATCTATAGATTGCTTTTGGTAATATTGCCATTTTGTAAAAATTTTTTTCATTGAAGAGGTCTTTCTCTTCTTAGGTTTTCTTTTTTCTTTTGTTTCGTTGGTTTCTTTCTCACTAGATTCCTTATTAGTATATAGGAGTGACACTTGATTTTTAAAGAATTTATATTAATACATTTTGTTTCTTGATATATATATCAATCATTCTAGCTACTGAATTTTCTGGTAGAGCCTGGAGTGTCTTCCACAAATAAAATTGTATTATTTGCTAATAGAGATAATTTGACTTTCTACTGCATTTTCTTTCTCTTTTTCTAAAGCTAAAACTTTAGACCCTATAAAGAGTAAGAGTAGAAAATGAGGACATGCATGTTTCATTACTGACTTTAGTGGAATCGCAGTCCTATACAATGTTGGCTGGGTGTTTGGATGTCATGCTGCTTTGCTATACTTTCCTTCAATTTCTGATTTCTTGAGGATTTTTATTGAAGGGATGTTGAACTGTTTTTATCAAAGATAATAAATACAGTCGATACCTTGCCTTCCTTGCACATGCTAGGCAAGAACTCCTTCACCACAGCCCACAAAGAAAATTATTGAGCAGGAATCATCATAGGTCTGTCTGGTTAGCTAAAATTCTAAGGGAAAAAGCCCAGTAAAGTAGCATGAATATGATATAAAAATAAGCCTTTGAAAGTCTTGAGTATGATCTGAAAGCTTACTAATTAATATCTTTCTGTTCACTACTTGACCCCTTGAATTTCCTTTTCTCTATTCCCCCAACAGTGTTTAAAACCATTTTAGTTAGCAGTAACATTTGATTTTGATTTTTCTATTCATTAAAAAATAATACTCTTTTGTTGTTATTATTCTGGTGTCTTTTTTTTTGGTTTTTTGTTTGGTTGGTTTTTTTAGACAGGGTCTCTCTATGTCATCCTTGCTGTTCAGGAATTCATTTTGTAGACCATGCAGACCTCGAACTCACAGAGATCCTCCTACCTTTACCTCCTAAGTTCTGGGATTAAAGGTGTGCAGAACTATGCCCTGTGGTAAACTCATTTTTAAAGAAAGTTATACAAAATTCATAGCAGTTGGGATAACTTGCCCAAAGCTGTACAGCTAATTGTGTATGAACATAGGTTGGTTTACCTTCAGTTATCTGTCTGAATATATATGTATTCCTGCAGTCACACCCCAGACAAAGATATGGAATACTGCAGGTGTCCTGGAACTTGTACCTCTTCCCTTAATAAGTTATTAATCTCCTGTTACCACTATTTTCCTTACACAGCAGATTCCTTCTTTCACATGTCTTCAAAGTGAATTCATTTATATGAATGAAACACTGCCTGTGTATTGGAAAGAGGTTTGATTGGTGATATAAGATGTGAGAAAGACTGTGGTGGGGCCAAGGGATTTGGTAGTGTGTCACAGAGCTTTCGCTGTTGCAGGATTGCTAGATGTTAAGCCTGGGAGATAACAACAAAGATGTTCCTTGTGATTTTGCTATAGTGGCATATTGAGTTAGTAGCTGGGAAACTTGAGATGGAAAGATGATGTTTAAAAATATTTGAGATGGAAAAATGTGAGGCATTTAAAAAAAATTAGTTCTTGGGGCAACTTGTTCTTACAGAAGACAAGGTTCCATTCCAGTGCTCACAATCATCCGTAACTCCAGTTCCAGGGAATCCAGTGCCCTTTTCTGACCTTTCTGGGCACTAAGCACTCTTGTGATGTACATACATGTAGGCAAAACAGTCATACACATGAAATAAATCTAAAAACTTTTAGTTTTTATCCTTTAAAACTAAACAAACTAAAAATTAGTATAATGTTTGTGAGTGCCAATTCATTCACTAACTGTGGGCTTACAACATGTTGAATATCTTCCTATTTTGTTACTATGTGTTTTGAGGTTAATTTTTATTCTATTTTTAGGAGTTATGGAACAGCGCCAGTAAATCTTAATATCAAGGCAGGGGGAAGAGTGTATGGAAATACAGGTAAAATTTGTATTTGCAGCTGCATAAGTATGAAAAAATGGCATGGTGTCTCATATAGGTCCCGAGTAGATTCTGTCAGCTCTTTTCATGAGTGATGTTTGACCATCTGACACACATATGCAGACTCCTTCTGTGAGAGACATCTCAGACAGCAGACATTCGGCCTGCTCTGCTTGTGCTGCTTTGCTTGTTTAGAACCCTTTAGTGATCTTTTTCTTTCCTCACAAATTACATAAAACAGCAGTTTAACATATGGACATTAGCCACTCCATTGATATAGTAATTTTTTGGTTTTTTTTTTTCCTGCGACAGTATCTCATGTAGCCTAGGCTATCCTTGACCTAACTGTGTACCCAAAGCTTGCCCTGAGTTCCTGGTCCTCCTGTCTCCATTTCCCAAGTGTGTAGATGTTAGGCATGTGCTGCCATGCTAGGCTATTATATCTAAATCTGTAACCTTTCCATCTTGTTGATCTTAAAAATTTCATCACAAAATCTGACTAGATAGTTTTATTAATGGTCATGATGGAAGAAGGTAAAGGGACATTTATTTCTTCTTTTTGTTCTAGCTTCTTGCTAATGTAGCTTCTTTGCCATTTTGCATTTCTTTAAATTAGGAACCAAAGTCAAAGGAGTAGACCTTGATGCACCTGGCAGCATTAATGGAGTGCCACTCTTGGAAGTGGATTTGGATTCTTTTGAAGATAAACCATGGAGGAAACCTGGTAAGATTATTTGGGAGTGCAGTTATCTCAAAAACAGATTTTTAGTGTAAACAGATCAGAAAAGTATTTTTTGAGCAACAGTATAAAATGCTACCTTTCATGGTGCTTTTTTTTATTGTTCTAAGCAAATAATAAGTACTGAGTACTTGCATTATTAAAATCTCATTAGTCACTGGAATTAACATAATGTGAACTCACACATAATTTATTATAATATCATTTCTAAAGGAAATCATTTTGATCAAAATGTTTTTCAGTCTGCTTAATTGTATAACTTTGAGAACTAGTGAAAATTCAAGAGGGGTCATAAACATATACATATATGTTATATGACTATTTCTCTCAGTATATATTATTAATAATGATGGGTTTCATTGTGACATTCCCCACATGTATATAGTCTTTCGAGCATGTTCACTGCTTTGTCCTCTTTTCCCCCTTTCAACCCTCACTAATACCCTAATAACCTTCATCTTCAGAGTCTGTTCCCCTTCTATTTTCATATCTTTTCTAAATTTACATTTTTATGCTGCATTATATTTTTGATGCTGCTATAGAGTTAAAATATTTGTGTCCTAAAAGTATGTTTTATCTTTAGGTGCTGATCTTTCTGATTATTTCAATTATGGCTTTAATGAAGATACTTGGAAAGCTTACTGTGAAAAACAAAAGAGGATACGAATGGGACTTGAAGTTATACCAGTTACTTCAACAACTAATAAAATTACGGTAATTAGTAAATCTTCCAGAGTAACCTGCCTCTTCTACTGTTCCACTTTGACTCCCCAAATAAGTCACTTTTTCCCCTAAAAGGTGATTAAATGCTGTATGACAGTTTAATTTTTGTTGTCTTGAACATGTTTGTTTATTTTCCCTTCCTTCCCCTTCAGTTCCATGTTAATGATTATCGTGTGTTCCTAGTTCAAATCACAGACTAGCTACAGCTAGTTTGTCTTTATGTGGCCTATCAATTAAAACTTATGTGGTATCTTAATGGGGAATATGTTATTTAACTTAGGCCGAAGACTGTACTATGGAAGTTACACCAGGTGCAGAGATCCAAGATGGCAGATTCAATCTTTTTAAGGTGAATTTTAGTAAATTATCCTTGGTTGCTCTCATTTTTGTTCTTGAGTCTGCTCCATACCACTGTTCAAGGGAGAAAATTAAAGTGGAAATAGGTACCTTTTTTTCCCCAAACCTTCAGCTTCCTGGTGACTTGCACATTGGTTGGTGTTTACTTTTGCAAGCATGTGAATTTATAGCCTATTATACTAACAAACACCAAGCAAATTTTTTGCTGTATGTTGTGACCTAAGGACGGTACATATTTGTGGGATATGAAAGTCATGGCTGCAGGTTCAACACTCATTGTACATCTTACTCTTATTCTTAGTAAAGTAGGAACCTTTTGTTTTCCCAGTTCTTTTTTGTTGTTGTTGTTGTTTTTGTTTTTTGTTTTTTTATGAGACAGGGTTTCTCTGTATTGTTTTGGAGGCTGTCGGTCTAGCCTGGCCTCGAACTCACAGAGATCTGCCTGCGTCTGCCTCCTGAGTGCTGGGATTAAAGGCGTACGCCACCACCGCCCGGTGTTTTCCCAGTTCTTAAAAGGAGGACGGATGGTGACAATGTTTATTCTATGACACTGGAGTCATTTTTATAGTTGCTCATAGTTAAGGTGTTTTCAAGAATTTCAGATGTTATCTGACAACCTCTTAAAATTGAGCAGAGTCTTCGCGTTTTAAACAGAGTAGGTCCATGTAAGTGACATGAAGGTTGACAGGATCATGTGACATCAGGTCTGACCTCTGGTTTCTCCATGTGGGTCCAAGGAATACTACCTTTTCATTGCTGATTTTCCTGAGGTTTGGTTGGGTAGCCTTTCTTCCCTTTAGCTTTAGGTTATAGACCTCAGGGACTTTGTGGTCTGGATATACAACTCTGTGCCAGCTTATGCAATACATGTGCTGTATCCGCAAATGTAGCTGGTGTCTGGACAGTTCTGTATAGAGACTTTAATTTTAATTTATGTCCTCCTACAGGTAAGTATTTGGTTCTTGTTCTGTTGTTAATATTTTGAAAGTACTTGGCAGTATTTACTCTATTTTAAATGGTCATCTTAGTTTTATAAACAATGAAATAAGAAACTACTAGTGCTAGCTTCTTGAAAGCTGTTGATATCTATTTTACATTTAAGCTATCTTTTGAATATTTTTTGAGTTGCTTTTGATTGAGAGGAAGTCATTAATTTTTCTCCATTTCGATTGATTCATTCTGAATGAATTTTATGGTTGTTCAGTGGTTTTCTTGTCTTGATCAGTTACTTAAATGCTAGTAAATCTATTAGAAATACTGATTAATTTCAGTGATTTAATTAGGCACCCCCGCACCCCAGTCGTGTTGTGATCTGTAGGAAATGATGGAGATAAAGCCATGTGAAAAGACCTTCATCTTAAACCGCAGTGCATGTTCATGTGAGCAGTAGGCATCCATTAGAGGGTTCTTGAGCAGGAGATATATTGTGCAGATCTGGCTTTTAGAGAAGAAGTGGCAGCCGAGTGGACTGTAAGAGAGGCAGAGGGTCAGATGGGGGTTGGTGTGATAAGTAGTCCAGGAGTGAACCGCACATGGCTGCTTTCAGTTTGCAGACACATTGGCTTAACGTCTGAGAGCCTTTTTTGCATTTTCTTTTTTCTGCTTCTCTTTTTATCTCTTATTGATGCACTGTACAGGTCCTGTAAAATCTGTTTTTGCCCTAATTTTCATCTCTTCTTTCTGGGAGGTTTTTATTTTATTTTTTACAATTCTACTTAGATTTTTGTTTCTGCTGTTAAGTTTTTAATTTCCAAGTAAGTTTTCACCACTTGACATCTTATTTTGTTTTTCAGTGTCTCCTCCAACCCCATCTTTCAGAGGATTTTAATATTTACTTATTTTTAATTTTTGCTTCTGCTGTTTTTTTCTGCATAGTCTCTTTTCTTTCTGTTAATTTTTGACTTTGTAGTTTTCAGCTTCTGACTTGGACGTCTCAAATGTTCTGTGGTTTTTTTTTTTATTCTTTTTAGTCATTCAGTAAGAATGAACCTTACAAACTTTGTTAATAAAACTAACTATAGACGTTTCCATAGGATTGTGGATGTTTATGTGCAGTTAGCTTGAAGTTTATTTTTTCTTTTTGTGGGGACCTGATTTCAGAAATACTTCAGTGTGACTAGAGTCCGTTCCTCAGCTACTTCAGATATTCCAGGAGCTTGATCTGTCAGTTCCTCTCTGGTTCTGCAATGATCATCAGTGTATTTTTGCTTTCTCTTCATATAGTATTAAATGCTTTTATAAATAAAGGTATTTTCAAAAAAAAAACAAAACAAACAAACAAAAAACTTCAGGGTGTTGCTGTAGTGATAGCATAGTTTTGGATGAATATTTAGCTTCTTTAAAAAAAAAGTGTGTGTGTGTGTGTGTGTAATCAGCATGTACATGGAGATCAAAGGGCAACATGCAGGAGCTAGTTCTTTGCATCATGTCAGACTGGAGAAGCGAACTCAGGTCATAAGGCTTGGTAGCGGGAGCCTTTACACTCTGAGCCATTTTGCCAGTCCTTAGCTTTTCAAGCTTATAAATTGTTAACATGTGTAAGATCTGATGTTAACTTGCTGTCAATCAATCATATATCATGCAGTTATTTCTTAAAATGCTAGAGTATGTGAACTAATAATCTCCTGTTCTGGGTGGACAGATTTTAAGTTTGTCATCCTGAATGTAGCATATGAAGACACAAGTAGGTAGTTAGAATTCAAGGTAAATAGGAAGCCTGCTATGATAGTGAAGGTTTTCAAGATTGTTTAATGAGGTGTTTTAAAGGCATTAAGTATAAAAGTTAGGAAAAACGAACAGTTTTTACTCATTTGCTATCTCTTGTCTTCACTGTTGTAGAGACACACACACGTACATGCATATAGTTTAAATACTCCCTTCCAGTTTTAAGATCTTTTATTCTCTCTCACTTTCTTCTTCAACCTTCTCCCATTCTTTTTTCCAGCTTTTAGAAGACTATCCCAAAGAATGTGTTAGGCTTGTTGGGGAAAGAAAGTGAACATAATAGACATGGACTCTAACCTTCTGTAATAGAAAAGCTTAGGTATTCAATAAATAATGATGGCAACAATTGCATATTTAATGTTATATGAAAGACTGAAGAAGTGACATTAAAGCAGAGGCTCAAAACCAATTAAATAAAATTTTTTAAAAAAGTTTATTGGCTTCTCCACATTCTTTTGCCAGACACTTAGCACTTAGGATACAGAGTTCATATGTAGTCAGTGTCTTCAAAGGTCTTGGCGTAGTGACAGTAGGCAGGTAGTATCATACAGCAAAATATTCAGACAGTGCTAATAAGAATTTTTTTTTTTTTTTTTTTTGGGTTTTTCGAGACAAGATTTCTCTGTGGCTTTGGAGGCTGTCCTGGAACTAGCTCTTGTAGACCAGGCTGGCCTCGAACTCACAGAGATCCACCTGCCTCTGCCTCCCGAGTGCTGGGATTAAAGGCGTGCGCCACCAATGCCCGGCTGCTAATAAGAAATTTTAAGAAAAAATTGGAAATCACAGGAAAGAGACTGGGAGTGGTGAAGGAAGGCTACTCCTACTACAAGGGATAATTTGACACAGTAGTCCTCTTACGACCACTGGACTACACTAAGTAAGATCCCTTGTAGATGCCTGAAACTGGGTGTTACTAAATCCTATATACTCCGTTTGCTTCTTCTCGTGTATATGCATAATAAAGTTAACTTCCAGGTTAGTCACAGTAAGTGATTAACAATTAACAGTGCAGAGCAATACACTAATAAAAATTATTCCAGTATGTTCAAAATAACTATTGTGCTATAAATCATAGCAACTTTAGCATATGGTGACTTTTCTATTGATATAATTTTCTGAAAGGAACTACGTGACAGCTTCTCTGTGCTGGTTCTGAATTGTCAGCATCATGAACTTTGTGCTTTAGGGGCATTTCTAAGTTAAGTAAGACTTAGTCAGACCTCAGTACTTTGCTACTCTCACGGTTTTAGTATCCCAAGCAGCTGAATGAGTGATTAACAGGATGCTGAAGTGAGCATGTGGATGTGTAGACAAAGGGATGATTCATGTCCCAGGTGAGGTGGAATTGGAAAGGTGCAGACTCTGTGTGATTTAACGAATCAGTTGTCAGTGTTTGGAATGTTCCACTTGAGTTGTTTTAGCCTGTTTTTGACCCACAATTCAAAGTACAGAGAGCAATAGCATAGGCAGAGGTGGGGAAGATAGCTCTACTTGAATTAAAGGAATCCATGAGACAATCCAGAGAAAAACTATTCCAAACAGAAAGAATAGTTAATTCAGAAACCCTTATGAGAAGAGGAGCTTACGTGTCCAAAAAGACAAGTAAAAAGGTTATCATGACTAGGGGTGGTAAAAATGAGTGGAGGAAGAACAAAAAGAAACAAGTTTAGAGGGATACAGTGCTCATACCATATAGGCCATGTTAAGAAGTTTATTTTGGTCTGGTTGCATTGGGAACAATTGGAGAATCTTGAGCAGAGAAGAGACATGAGTTAGCATGCATATGTGTTAAGATTGCTTTTCTTTTGTACAGAGTTAAGAGCAAAAGTGGAGAGAGTGTTTATCACAGTAGCTGATGCACACAGATGGATCTGACTGGAGAGGTGTCTTTCTGTCAGCTGATGGGTTTTGGTAATGTTGTAAAGGACAGACTGGCATCCTGTATGTTAACATGAGTTAGATAATGCCTGTAGTGTGTTGTTCTTGAGAAGGTTAGTAGGTCACAATGCGACACAATGGATGGATGGATGGATGGATGGATGGATGGATGGATGGATGGATGGATGGATGGATTTGTTCGTTTGTTTGGTTAGTTGGTTGGCTTTTCAGGACAAGGTTTCTCTGTGTAGTGAGCCCCAGCTGTCCTGGAACTAGTTCTCTGTAAACCAGGTTAACCTTGAACTCACAGAGATCCGCCTGCCTCTGCCTCCCAAGAGTTCTGGGATTAAAGGCTTGCACCACCACTGCCCCGCTTCTAATGTTAACCAATCCTTTAGGCAGAGTAATATGTTTCTTTTACATCTTTTACCCTAGGTGTGTGTGTGTGTCTGTGTGCGCGCGCACGCGCGTTTGACTGTGTCCACACGTGCTGTGGTGCATTTGTGAGGGGCAGAAGACAGCTTTCAGAAATTGGTTCTTTCCTATTATATGGGTCCCTGGAATTAAAGCTCAGGTTGTAAGGCTTGGAAATCAGCACCTTATACTCTGAGCTACCTTCCTGGTCCTTAGTCCATATTTTTTTTCATAGCATTTACTGTGTTGTGCTCACTAGTTTTGTTTTCTTTGAGATTTAGAGTTCGTTTTTCTTTCAGTAGCCTTTTTGGGTACAAATTTGATAGTTAATAGATGCTTGGTAGTTGAATTGTTTATCTGTCAGGAGGTTATTTAATCCACTTCAATCTTTTATTTTTGTCTTTCTTGCTGTAGTGATGATCCTAATATCCCATTAGGATCTATATGTTTTAAATGAATTTGTTTTTAGTAAGCAATAGAACTCATTTTCACATGAACTTGATGTCCTAATTATAGGTAGGTACCAGTCAGGTAAAACTGGTTACTACTTAGTAGAGGTTTGACTCTTTTTAAGATAATACTTAGCTTTATTTTATTAAAAAATATTTAATAGTAAATTTTAGTATTTTGACTTCTATTAGTTCCCCCTTCCTTTTCTTTCATTCAGCCCCTCCTATACATCCCTCTTACTCTCAAATTCATGGCTTCTGTTTTTTGAGTGTTGTTACTTATGTACATATGTTCCTAAATATAATCTGCTTAGTGAGTATTATCTTACTTGTATGTATGTGATTTCAGGACTGATCATTTGGTATTGGATAACCAATCAGACACTCTTCTTTAGGAAGACCATTTCTTCCACTCTCAGCATTTTCCAGGTACCCATAGTTCTTAGGCTAGGGTTGAAGACCTTGAGCTACCCCTTCCCTGTCAGCATGCCCATTGATGTCATTGTTTAGGTCTTGCTCAGGCAGGCATGTTAATATAGCCTGACATTTCTAGGAGACACAGACTCACAACAAATTTCCTGTTCCTCTGCTATTAAAGATCTTTCTGCTCCTCTTTCCTTCAATGATCCTGTACTATAGGTGCAAGAATCGTGTTGTATATGTATTCAGTGGGACTGGACACCACATGATCTTTTGTTTGCTGCATTTGGTTTGTTGTTGTTTTCTGTTATGTTCTACTTCTGTTGCAGAGAGAAGTTTCTTTTATAAGGGGTGAGAACTTGTCATAAAGACACTACTTGGCATAAGAATAAATATATTTAAAGTGTAGTTAGGGGTTATGATGGTTTAGTAAAGTGAAGGGTTCTCCTCTAGGATCCATGACTTCACTAGGTCTGGGTCGTTGGCTTTATGTTCAGCACCAGTCATTGTTTCCTTCATGTTGAGTGGGCTTTCCCTCCAGTCAGACATTGTTGGTTACGGCCAATGCTTGCATGCCACTGTTGCACCTGTACAGTCATGCCATCATCATGAGGCCATGGTTGTGGCTTATGGGCATTGTTTGCTTCCCTCCCTTGGTAGCTTGAATGTTGCTCTCTGGTTCAACGAAAGCTAGTCCTCAGGGAGGAGACTTTCAGGTCAGAGATTTGACTCTTAGTAGCTTAAATGCATAATGATATTTTTGTTTTCCTGATGTTGCTTAATTGGCAGATAGATGGTTTCTGAAATCAAAGTAATGACTTAAATATAGCAATCAAATTATCTGAGATTTTTTTGTGTCTTGCTTCATGAGAAAGGAGAATGATGCTAAATTTAGATGGAACAGGATAATAGAATTTAAATAGGGCCTAAGATAGTAGGCAAGAAAAGGTAATAAAGAAACATGACTTATTTGAAGTACCTAGGTATGTGGAACTGGCATGATAGGCACTGTTACTAGTGATGAGTTATGGATGTGGAAGAGTAGATTTTCTATTAATTAAAAGTTATTTTCATACAATATATTTTGAAGTATATTCTTTCCCCTCCAACTTCTTCTAGGTCCTTCTTCCCTGCGCACCCAACTTTATGTTCTGTCTCTATCTCCCCTCCATTAAAAAAAAAAAAAACAAACCAAAACCCCATAAGACAAATATCAAAACAAACAAAATGTGTCCAAAACAAAAACAAAGAAACAAACAAAACCAATCATGTAGTCTGTTTTGTGTTGGTCAACTGGGCATAGGGCCTGACCTGTAGTGTAGTTGATATACCCAGTGACACTCCATTGTAGAAAACTGATTTTCTTTTTCTCAGCAGCTATCAATTGCAGATAGCTTCTTGGTCATGTCCACTCTCTCTTCTCAGTACTGGTATTTGTGCAAGTCTTATGCCTCTAATAGCCTCCATGAGTTCATATGTGTGTCAGTCCTGGTGTGTCTGAATGATGCATTTTTCCTTGGAATCATTCATGACCTCTAGCTCTTACAGGTTTTCTACTTCTTCATGGATTCCTGAGCCTGTGGGGAAGGGAGGTTGATAAAGACATCACATGTAAGGCAGGGTGCTTCAAAGCCTCATACTATCTGAATATTGTTCAGTCATGGGTCTCTGTGCTAATTAACATCTGAACTATGAATCTAGCAGTATGTCATTAGGAGTAATAGTATTGCTATATTCCTTTAGCTATGTAAGAATAGTAGGTTTCCTCAAAAGCCCGTGATCTAACTAGTCCCAGGTGGTTGGCCAATTTAATGGTGTCAGACATAGGTTCCATCTAATGGAGTGGACCTTAAATCTAATTAAAAAGGGACTAAATACTCCTGAAACATTGTTGTCACTGTTGCACCAGTATTTCATGTAAATAGGTGGCTGTTGGACACAATATGGTTTGTAGCTGGGTATTGTTGATGGTTAGTTTTCTCTTCTGGTAGTGTACAAAGTACCTTCTAGGTCCATAAATGTTAGTCATTAGGTGTGAAATGTTTATTTGAGCTGATTCTTTATATTGGTGTTAAAGCAAATCACTGTCTGAAATAGCAAATGCTCAGATTGCTAGTAAAACTTGTGAGTACAGAAGGGGAAAACTTCAAGGCTTTCCTTGAACTTGGAAACAAGAATTCATAACCAAGTATATCCTAGACTCATTTACTTTACTCAAGAGCAATTTGTGAGTCTCCATGAATTACAGTTTATTGGAGCTTCTGAGTGACATTTTAGTATTTGGAACATTTTGATCCTCAAATCTGTCTTTGATGCATTTCACCTAATGCTGATCTAAGATAGGTCCCTTTTAATAAATATCCAGGCATGGGGCATTCTTCATATTTTTAACATCTTCAGAGCAGATGTTACAGGCTTAAAAGTGCCTCATGCTTGAGTGTCGATTAAATTAAGCAAAGTAGTAAGCCCGTTTTTCTTTCTGAAGGTGCAGCAAGGGAGAACTGGAAATTCAGAGAAAGAAGCAGCGCTTCCATCTACAAAAGCTGAGTTTACTTCTCCGCCATCGTTGTTCAAGACAGGCCTGCCACCAAGCAGGTTAGTAGACACTTACGGTCCAGCACTGGGATCTTGGTGCTGGGTTTGTGTTGTGCTCTGTTAAATATGAAGTCTTTAGTACAAACTGGAAAGCTTTACATTTAGTTTGAATCATTATAAAAACAACTTTTCAGGTTGCTATTCCATCTTAAAAAACAAAGCAGCTGAGTCTGCATGAATTGAAGCATGCTATAGACACACTAATCTTCCATGGAGAAGTGGTGACTGCTCATGCTCTTCACGGTGTATATTATTCTCACATAAAGATTCATTGGACTTCCGAGATCTAGATCTATGGACTTAAAGGGATTTTTGTAAAAGAAATGATAGAAATTTCACCCATAAAAGTCTGATGTCATTCTTTGCTTTCACCATAACACCCAATTTTGTGTTCATAAAATACTAGATAAAAGTCATAATTGTGCAGAAAAAATGTCCTTTTCATTCAAATGTGACAGTTGTTTCTTTGTGACTCATTATAAGGAAAATAACAAAGAATAAGCTAAGACCAGAAAAGTTAGAAGATGCCAGCAGTTTAGTCTTGGATTAAATCGAGGTCACAGTCTGGGCATGAATAAGTCAACTCAGCCATAACAGATTCTCTGCCTATTCACCTTTTGTTGCTTGCTTAAATTTCTGTTCTAGGTATCTCTTCATTTGTTCTGCAGTTGGTTACTGGTCTGAGAAATTATACTTTAATTTTCTAATGGGGAAAGAGACTTTAGAGAAGCATTAAGGTCATCTCTAACTGAAATGATCTCTTGTTTGTTTGAGCTTTGTTCATTTGTTTGTTTGAGACAGTGTCTCATTATGTAGCCCTGGCTGGCCCAGAACTTGCTATGTAGACCAGGCTGACCTCAGAATCACAGAGATCTGCCTGCCTCTGCCTCCCAGGTGCTGGGATTAACAGCATATGCTACCATGGCCAGCTAAAACACAGATTCTTGAAGCTTTAATCCAAAATGAAATATTTAAAAGTGAGCCAAGATTTTTTTTGAAACACTTTTTTTATTATTACATATTTAAATTAGAAACAAGCTTGCCGCTGGGTGTTAGTGGTGCATGCCTTTAATCCCAGTACTTGGGAGGCAGAAGCAGGCGAATCTCTGTGAGTTCGAGACCAACCTGGTCTACAAGAGCTAGTCCCAGGACAGCCTCCAAAGCCACAGAGAAACCTTGCCTCAAAAAAAAAAAAAAAAAAACAAAAAGAAAGAAAGAAAGAAAAAGAAACAAGCTTGCTTCCCATGTCAGTCCTAGCTCCGTTACCCTCCCCTCCACGCCCGCTCCTCCCCTCAGCCCCCCACCCAATCCCCACTACATTCCCCAGGGAGGATAAGGCCCTCCATGGGGGATCTCTAGAGTCTGTCATTTTGTTCCGTGGAGGGCCCAGGCCCTCCCCCAAGAGCATCCCTTATTGTGGGATGGGCGCCCAAAGCCCATTTGTGTGCCAGGAATATATACGATCTACTACCCAAAGCCCCATAGATTGCCTAGGCCTTCTCACTGACACCCATATTCAGGGGGTCTGGATCAGTCCCATGCTGGTCTCTCAGCCATCAGTCTGAGGTCCAAGATCTCCCCCTTGTTCAGGTCAGCTGTTTCTCTGGGTTTCACCAGCCCAGTCTTTGTGAACCAAGATTTTTATGGATTGCTATAAAAATACCTCAAATATTGTAATTTGAACTAAATGAAATTTCATAAGACATTTGATTAAACAATTACGGAAACTCAATTACGGAAACTAAGGAGTATCGATCCTTTAATAGATAGTAGTTTGGATTTGGGATTCCTTTAAAAGGTCAACTTTGTTTCATTGAGTTTTTCTGTGCTCTGCTTTGGAGTTTTGTTAAGAGGTTGGAATCTCCTCTTAGATTTCTGGGGTTTAAATTCTAGCTCGGCAGTCTACTAGTTGAGTGTCTTTGGGCAAACTCTTTAATTTTGTTAGGTTTGGATTTCCTAATTTTAAAATGTAGTAGTAGTACTTCCATTGCAGTCTAGCTACGTGTGTCATATGAACTAAGTTCTGTAAAGTGTTGTGGAACTGTGTGTGTCACATGAAAACATTCTCTAGATACTTACTGTTAAAGTGAAACTCTTTAAAAGTCATGGAGTCTTTGTGTCCTTTTGCTTTCCCCTCCTTTGTGGGGAGCATGTTGAGTTGTATCACATCTTGTAATGATACAAGAGTTTTGCTTTGCCTTTTCCTCTGTTTGAAATAAATAGGGAGCCACAGTGGTATTTTTGTCAGGCCAGCCTGGGGTTTTCAGGTCTCAGTTTAGCTGCTTTACTAAGAGCAGCTTATACTGTGAATAGTAATAGAAAAGGGGATAAGGTGTAAGAAATCACAACAAATATTTAGGCAAGAGATAATGTGTCCTGGACCAAGGTTATGATGAATGGTCAGGATAGTTATCTCCTGGCTGTATTCCAAAGAATTGGAATGGCATGCCTGGGTTGGTTAGTTGTAGATTATAGAAAAGGTTTCTCAATGAACTCAGGGATTTTTGTCTTGCTCAATACAGATGTCATGATTGGGTTGTCATGTAAGGGATGGGAAGGATTATAAGAGGAATGACTTTTGGAGAGAGAAGACAAGGCATTCAGCGAAGGGACTAGAAGTTGAAGGAAGTGCTAGCTCAGTATGAAAGTGGAAACTGGAAAGGTGGATCTCTGACCAGGGAAGAGTATTGGCTGGGGATAGAAACCTGAGACAGTGATCACTGCTAAATGGTGTCTAAAGTAAAGCTCTGAAATTTAATTAGACCATTATTGATCAAGAAGTGGGAAGAGGACAGAGCCTTGACATACTAAAAGAAATTAATGGAGATCAGTAAAAAGGGACCAATAAGGAGGCTTAAGATAGTTAACTGTCAAACACTAATGATAAACTGATCAAAAAGATGAAGACCAAATTTGTATTACAAATTCAGGGATGATGGTCATTGGTCATTCTGACCAAGATCAGGGACAAGGTAAATTCAAAAGACTTGAATGACTTCTACAGAAACGAGAGATCCCAGGTCTTGGGAGACAGAGGCAGATGCAGATGAGGTTCTGTGAGTTCAAGGCCAGCCTGGTCTTCATGGTGAATTCCAGGACAGCCAGGACTGTCTTCAAAACAAAAAAAGAAATGAGAGGAATTGAAAAGGAAAACTATGAATAATATTAAAGACTATTTTCTCTTGTCTGTGGGGACAGAACTAAGGAAATGGGGAAGTGTGAGGCTAGCTTTTTGAAGGTAAAAGAAATCTCAGCATTTTATACTTGAATGAGTTAACTAGAAATAGTAGTGATCAAGGAGTAAGGAAGGCGACATTTATAAAGCATTGTTCTTAGCTAGGCCAAAGGGAATAAGGTATGACATTCATGGGCAGCAAACAGCTCCATAACTGGAGAGAATGTGGGTTACAGGGGATTTTCAAGTCTCAGTTTCTTTGCTAAGAGTATCGTGTATAGTGAGTGAAAGTAGAAACAGGGACCCTTGTAAGTACCTAGGCAAGAAAAATTATGATAGACAGGTAGATGGACTATGAGAACAATGAATGGCACATTCTCTTCAGATTCTCTCTCTCTCTCTCTCTCTCTCTCTCTCTCTCTCTCTCTCTCTCTCTCTCTCTCTCTCTCTCTCTCTCTGTCTCTGTCTCTCTCTCTGTCTCTGTCTCTGTCTCTCTGTCTCTCTGTCTCCAAAATAAGACCCCGGCTTACCAGGATAGACTAAAGATGATAGAGTGGGGTATTATTTGGAGTAGGTGAATAAACTTTTGTGGAAAAAAAAATAGGATCACTTGGTGGAAGTTGGAGGGAAACACAGATTCGAAGGCTTTCTTCAAAATGGGAGAAACAATGTTTTTTATATGTTGATGGAAATGAGTTAGCAAAATGAAAAGTTGATGGCATAAAGAGAGACGCTCTGTGATCCCAGTTTGTTAGATTGATGCCATGGTCTAAAATGAGCCAAGTCAAGTATGCTTTAGATGGGTTGAGGTTATACCAGGTCATAACTAAGGGATAGAAGGGCCCCAAAAGTGAATATGTACTCAAAGGGTGATATTAGTAATGACTGTGGATCCAAGTAGAGTTGAAGACATTGGAAAATAAGCATAAACAAAGATAAAATGAAAAAGGTGGTAAGGGACAGAAAAAAATCTGGTGAAAGAAAAATGGGAAGGTTAACAGGCCTGTCATTACTTAAGAAAGTATAAGTAATTGTCCTTGCAACTGATAGACATATACTAAGCATGCTTTTATTCATCACTTTTTAATATAAAGGACAGTGCTCGTTCCTCATTAGGAAAGTTTGTTTTCTGTGTTTATCTTCAGTTAATCAAAAATAGACTTTTATAATCATTGTAAAAATTTTCCTTAAAAAATCATGTGTGTGGGAGGTATGTGTATATACATATGGAAATTGGATAAAATCTTTGGAAATAAAATTTTATTGAGTTTAGGGGAAAGATAGTATTGTCAGTACTGACACATAAAACAGGTATTTAAGAGTAGTGATCTGTGATACTGGCCCATGCACTAGATCTCCAGTGCTAAAATCTTAGATTGCCTTAGTAATGTGTAGGTAGATGTTTGCAGAGAACTTCTTAACTTTGGTATTGGTAGAGATAGTGAGCTTGTAACTTCTGTACTACCCAACAGTATGCATACCTAAGGAAAGGTCTACGTTTACTGTATCAGAATACTTTGTTTCATCTAGGTTTTCGTATTCTGTATTTTCTTTTGAAGTACATAGCTACAGAAACGTGATATGAATTTACATCTTGATGAGGTCTTACAAACACAATATATTGTTGTAAACCAGCAAACAGATTGGAAAGCAAGCTTTTGCTATTCCTTCCTTTGTTGTTTTTATCTTGTATTCTTTTGTTTTGACAAGAATTCAGACTTAAGAGCTGCAAGTAAAGCAGCCTAGGTCTTAACATGTTGTTTGCCTTTTTTTTTTTTTTCGAGACATGGTTTCTCTGTATTGCTTTGTAGGCTTTCCTGGAACTCACTTTGTAGGCAAGGCTGACCTGGAACTCACAGAGATCTGCCTGTTTCTATCTCCCAAGTGGTGGCATGCACTACCAGCCACCAAAGCTTAATATTGTTTGCTTCTTTTTTTTATTTTTATGTTTAAATTTTATGTTTAAATTTAGATTAGAAACATGGTTGGTTCACAAGTCAGTTCCAGGTCCTTCTCCCTTTCCCTCCCCTCCTCCCGTGTCCTCCCAAGTGGTGGCATGCACTACCAAAGCTTAATATTGTTTGCTTCTTAAAAAGACTTTTCTGTCAGCCATTTGCATGCTAATTTAGATGATAACCATTGGATGCAGTGTTCTCTTAACCTCTAAACACTTCCCCTTGCATTTCTGAGGTACATGGATAGGCATTTTATTACATAGATGCAAATAGGGCAGTTATCAAAGTTAGGAAAACCTGATGCTGAATCAATCTTTTATCTAATACCCAGATGATGAATTTTGCCAGTTTCCTCAATATTGTTCTTTACTAACTTCCTTTCTCCTTTTCTTGGACTCAGTCCAGGGTCATTCATTTGAGCTCTGTCTTTAGGTGTTTATCATCTAGAGCAACTTCTCAGCCTTGTATTTTAGAAGAGTGCGTTCTGGTTGTTTTAGAGATGGTTCCTCAGTCTAGCTTTGCCAGTTCCTCCTCATTATTAGATGGACGTGTAAATGATGCCGTGTTCCTCTCTTCAGTGCACCAGGCTCAAGATAAATAAATCGCACTTTGCCCCACTTGTTTTTTTTTTTAACCACTAATGATAAGTCTAGTGAGTTACTTGCAGTTCTGCCTTTCTTGTTCTACATCAAGTTCTTGTTTTCCCCTTTGCATTTAAGAAATAATTTCTGCTTTGGGGATGTTGCCCAGTTTTAGGAAACTGCTTGCCCTTAGCATGCCCCAAGTCTGACGTTGCATGTTCAAGGCCTTGGCTCTGATTCCTAGCACCATTAAAAAATAATAATAATTTTGTATAGAAACTGGGAATAAATGTCCTAACTTCCTGAGAACTTTAGCTAGCATTTGCTGATGAATTTTTATAATAACTGAGCTGCTACTGTGTCTATAAAACAGTGATTAACTTTTAAATTTTGTTTAGATTATCTTTTTAATGTCCATGGGTGTTTTTCATGCGTGTAAGTCTGTGTACCACGTGTGTGCATGGATCTACCAGAAGTCACAAGAGTGTGTTGGATCCTTTGGAACACACAAGATTGTGGGCTGCCTTGTGAGTACTGAGACTTGAACCTAGGTCCTCTGGAAGAGCTCTCAGTGCTCTTAATCACTGAGCCATCTATCCAGTATTATTTGTTTTTGTGAGTATTTTGCTTGCAGGAATGTACATATACCATGTACGTATTTTGTTGCTAAGGAGGCAAGAGAGGTGGGTGCTGGATCTTTTGGAATGGAGTTATAGGTAGTAGGGAGCCATCACGTGGGAGTTAAGAAGCAAACTTGGGTTATCCAAAAGAGCAACACTTGCTCTTAACCTCTGAGCTATCTCTACAGCTCCTGCTTTTCAATTTTTTGAAACAAAATTTTGCTGTGTAGTTTAGGCTATCCCTAAACTCACAGTCCTTTCACTTCACCCTCTCTAGTGCTGGCATTGCCAGCATTCCTCACTAAGTGCATTCAGTCTTCTGTGTATTCATGTGTGCGTGCGTGTATGCGTGTGTGTGTGTCTTATAAGTATGGTTTATTTGTATTAATGGTGTGTGAATCCTATGTGTGATTTTTATATATGCTGTATCTGTTTTGATGTGTCACATTTTCCAAATTTGGCCAGTGGGAGTCTCTGCAAAATTGGTTTTGTCTGTGTCATGATCTCTACTTCTTGGCATTAGCTGGGCATTCCAAGCTCATCTTATACTTTCCTGATTTCTCCCCAAGATATTTCCCTGTCTTAGGAGATCAGCCTGGTAGCTATGATCATTTTACTGGGGTTGCATTATTTATTTCACAGTCATTTTAGCACTTAACAACTAGGGGGAAGATAGTGGTTTCCACATGAAAGATATCACTTGCATATTTTTAAATAAAGTTTTAGATACCACAGAGTGCTTTGTTTCTCAGAACTAGTCCATATTATGTCTCTTTTATCATAGTGATTATCCAGCTACCAACAGCTTCAGTGTATTACTTATTTAATTAATAATCAGCTGGGCGTTGGTGGCGCACGCCTTTATTCCCAGCACTCGGGAGGCAGAGGCAGGTGGATCTCTGTGAGTTCGAGGCCAGGCTGGACTGGCAGCCTCCAAAACAGAGAAACCCTGTCTCATAAAACCAAAAAAAAAAAAAAAAAAAAAAAAATCAAATATAAGCCTAATAGATTTGGGATTTCTGCTTAGCCATTAAAACACATACACACAATTAAAATAGGTTTCAGGATTCATTCATAGTTCTTTCTATTCTGTTTTAGACTGAAGGTGAATGATGAAGACGTTATAGTATTACTTGGTTCCTTTGGTCTGTTCACTTTTAGCATGTTTCATCCTCCATGACTACTGTTAGAATTTCTTTTTGTTTGTGTAAACTGTTGGACACAGAGCCAAAGTCAGGGCTATCCAATGGTATAGATGAAGTTGTCACTCTTTTTTTTTTTTTTTTTTTCTTCTCCTACTTCACTTCGGTTCATTTGTAGTTCATTTTTCCTGGGTACCAGTTTACAGAAGTAGACTTAGAAACATGTATTTTTAGCAGCTTTGAAAGAACATTGATCTTTTACAGGATTGGCAAGAATAGAAATAGCTGAACTTACTTTTGTGACAGCATCTTTCTGTGTAGTCAGCTGGTAATCTCCCTGCCTCAGCCTTCTGAGTGCCATTGTGCCTAGGTAAACGTCATGTGAAGCATGTCACTGGAGATAAATTAGCTTTGGAAATTTACTTGGAAAGAGTTGTTCCTTTGAAATGAAATTTTAGCTCATCATAAGTTTTTATGAAACCCATCAGAGTACTACTGTTAACTGGTTGTACTGACAATTATGTGTTATTGAACAGCATAGGAGAAAACAATGCCAGTTTTGAGTGAAAATTTTTTAAAGGCAGAAATTGTTATTAATTCACAAAGGCACAGAAATTTGCTTCTTGGTAATTATTTGGGCATAACTTTGGTTCTTTTTTCATTTCTTCATCTTGACACCATACTATGTTGTAAAGTATTTCTTACATCATTCTAGAGTTAATAAGATGGTGATAACAACATCTAAATTAAAATGCCTCCATCAGTCAGTTCTGCAGCAAGGGCTTCATGACTTGAAAGAATGGTTCTATAGGAACATGTCAAAGTGCCTTAGAAAAGCATGTCAAGGAAAAAAATAAGCAGAACAAGGGGGGTTACAGACAACAGTATGTAAGAAAAAACACAGAAAATTTATCTCACCAGAAACAGCACCTCTTCTCAGTCTCAGACAAGTACTGCCTCCAGGAAAGCCAGTTCAAGCGTTGGGAAGTGGCAGGATCGATATGGGAGGGCCGAGTCACCCGACCTAAGGTAAGGCTGTTTTAAACATTGCCTACTTCCTCATGTTTAGATCACTGGTATTATTCTGTCTCTTAGTATGTAATAAGGTAGCTAGTTTTGAGACTATACCATATTTTTCCCCAATGATGCTTTCTCAGTGCACATGAGGCAGTTTACTGAGACACACACAAGCATGTGTCTTATTCATCCTTTTGGCCTTTAATATTATGTAATTGTTATGTTGAACCACACTAAAGGGTGTTCTGAACTTACTTTTCTCTCCTCCTTGTTGCATGTTGATTCTTTGTTTTTATTCATTCTTTTATGGTGTTCCCAGCTATTTTTCACTGCTTATGCATGAAGTGTAACTTTCTGAACTAGTTTTGGGACTTAAAAAATTTGACTCCACAGAATCTGTCTAATCCTATCCAGCCACAATGTATCCTGTAGGTGGGGGTACCAGCTGCCCTGGGTTGTACCGTTTCTCTTGTAAAACCTCTGTCCATAAAATTTTCATTCGTGTTCTAAATTTTGTATTTACAATGTGAACAGCCATATACACGCACTATAATTTCTCTGAGTCTGTGAAATGGGAATAAGTTCATTTCTGAAGGATACAGTGCTGTTCCTATAGAATGCATTGCTGGCATTAGTTAGTATGAGAGATGATATTTTAGTGTATGACTCAGAAGTATTGGCCAGGACAATTTTAACATGCCCTTTGAGATTGTAAGTAATTACAACCAAACAAGGACTAAATTTTGTTGTTTGGCTTTGTTTAGTATTGTTGAAGAATTTTATGCTTCCTATGTCTGAATCATCTACCAGTGATCCTTTGATAGTTTGCTTGTAATCACTTTAATTGCTTTTAGATATGTAAATGATGGCAGATACTTTTGATTGTAGCATTTTACAAAAAGCAAGAGGGGACAACACTATCAAAAGAAAGTTTGATTTTCATAATTTTTCCCCCTGTAGAGGCTTAATTATATATTCTTAGTGAGTTGTAAAAATTTCTAGTCAGTTCCAGGTTTGCTATTAGAATGGAATAAGTTATTCAAGTCAAAGAAAAAAGTAGTCATTCATGTCCAAAGACAGTATTTTGACTTTTTTAAAACAATGCCCTAAGTATCCATCTAGCAACTGATAAATTAAAAATTTTCAGAACAATTCTATGTGTGTCTTTAGTGGGTTAAGAATGAAGGGAGGTGGAGTCTGAAGAGGCAGCTCAAAGGTTAAGATCACTTAACTGCTCTTGCTGAGAATCCAGGTGTAGTCTCCGGCACACAGTGTAGGTCGTTCACAGCCACCTGCAGTTTCAGATCCAGGCAGTTGATGCCCTCTTCTGACCTCTCTGGGCACCAGGCATGCTTGTACACAAGACACTTTTATACATTAAATAAATAAAGCTTATGTTCAGCAAAATACACAGCTCAAAAAAAAAAGAAGAATGAAAAAGGGTGACTTATTTTAGTAGTCTTCTCTGGCAAACTTTAGTTATGCTTAAATGACATTAAAATTTTACATGGGGAATCAAGAGAAATTTGAAATTAAGTAAAGTTGGTTTTGATATGTGGAGTCAAATAGAATGAATTTGTTTTGAATTTTTGAAATCGAATATTGTTAGCAATTAAATGTGATTCAAGAATTTTAATACGTGTACTAGTATTGCTTCTATATAATAATTTGATTTAGTGCATACTGATTGGATTTATGTTTATCCCGACCAGCAACATTACTGCCCAGATTGACTTAGAGGCTTGATTCTGGGTGGGCTGAAACATTCAAATCAAATGTTAGCTTCCAAGGGAGTTTTGCAGCAGAATGATAGATACAGCTATCCTGGGGCCTGGCACTGGGTGGCATGTGTAGCCTCACAGAGTCTATGTGATGTCCATTTAATTTATATTTTCTGCCTCTTGATTAGAAACCACTTTCAGAACGGTATTTTGTGTCTTCATTTGCAAGCTGAATGATAGATGATTTTGCTGTAGACATTTTACATAAGTTTCTCTACATTATTTCTCTTGGTTTGTGCTCTTCACACCATGTAAAATCTCTCATTCCCATTCGTGAGTTTAAGTTGATCTTGTGTGTCTATGTTTAGATACATGGCCTGATTGAGACGCCACCAGCTACATCTTTTATTTGAGAATATGAAAATTTCAAACGCTGGGGGTTGGAGAGGTGACTCGGTTAAGCTCATTTTTTGCTCTTGCAGAGGATGCGGGTTCAGTTCCCAGCACCCAGATGGAGGCTCACAACTATCTGGTTCCAGGGCATCATACCCGTCTTCCACCTTTGTAGGCACTATACACATGGTGTGCAGGCAAGCATGCAGGAAAAACATCCATACATATAAAATAAATCAATCTATTGATTAATTCAAATGCTATTTTTTCTTAGAGAATAAATATTTGAAATGTCTGCTGCCCAGTTTTTATTAGGAACCCTATTATGAAAAAACCCTCAACTACAAAGCTAGAAAATGTTCTAGATTTTCTTTGTGCAACAACTCATAAGTAAACTTGCTTCACCCAGTAGTCTCATCTGCACTTTACACACACACTAAACGACTTAGGTTTGGGACCTCTTAGAAAGCTGTATGTGCAAGTTAAGAAAGAACACTTGCTCTTTTTCGGATGAAACCTTACACTGTGGGACTCACCTGGTTTTACTGAACCTCAACTATGGTGTTTTACACGGCACTTGAGAATGAATCTGTGGAATCCACTCTTGGTTTTGTTGTGCACACACTGCAAATTTTGTCTGACTTTGGTACTCTTCAAAGCATATGGTTGTGGTTCATTTCTGAGTTTCAGTCATTTTGTGGTTCTAAGTGGTATTTGTGGGGTTCTGTTATTGTGCTTTTGTAATGAAATCACACTTGCTTTTAATATTATACTTTTCCTTCCTTTATAGTAGGCATCATCTTATAAAACTCCATTTTTAAATATAATGTGTATGCTCTGGATTTCTTAGGCAAACACTTTTCTTGTGTGTTTTATTACCAATAAAATTTTAAAATTGCTGCAATCTATCATACTTTCTTCTAAAAAGAATTAATAGGGTACAGTTTTGCTTTGTACTCTCGTATATAAAAATATGAATAATGATATGTCATAAATTACGAGTTATAAATATAAGTGCTCAGTTAATACAAGTTCTAGTATTCCCAACAAGCACTCTGCAAACTAATGGTTTATTTTATCATACACACTGTGCATTAAGGATGCCTTTGCCTTACCTGCTTAAAGCTTAGACATAAAATTATGATATTGTCTGTCTTCATTTGGCCTCTAGTTGCCATTGAGAAATTGTAGTTTTATCTTAGTTAGTGTCCCTTAATTCTTTCTGGGACATCAGAATCATCAAAATAAGACAATTTAATTTGATTTCAGAGATGATTTCATATTTGCAGGATATTTGCAAAATAGAAGCTCATATGAGGAAGAGCATTTTTTAAGCTGTTGATTTACCCCAAATATCCAGAGTGGTTAGTTTCTATCACTGCTTTTTACCATCCAGTTGAGTCTAATATTAGGAATTGTGATAACAACCGTAGCTGACTGAGTTGGCGTTACTGAGCAGGTTTGGGGCCCCACTTAGCCTGGATGCACTGTGTTGACATTTGAGTTCTGGCAGCTCTTCTTGTCACGAAGCACTGCTGAGAAGTTTCATGGAGAGCCGGTAGAGGACTTGCTGAGCATGCATGAAGCCCTGAGTTTAGTCCTCAAGATGGTAGAGTGGGAAAGTTAATGGGGTCACATTCAGTACATTCCTATAATGTGGCTCAGGACTAATGGAGTTTTAAATCATTCCATTGTTTTATGTTACTTTTGTTTTCTTTTACTACATCTGTGAATATCCGTAATCCACAAAATGTCAAATTCATTCTGATAAAAGTGAATTAGTTGGTGGTTTGTTTTTTGTTTTTTGTTTTTTTTTTTTCTTTCTTCAAAATGGGATGGAGGCAACTGCAGTTTTTGGACCTCCTTCTGGGGATGTGTTCTGAAGACTGAGTTCTCCGCTGTTATGTTTTTACAAACATGCTGTTTACCATCTTGCATTTCTTGTGATTACTCCACTTAAAGCTTAGAAAACAATGTTTGCTCTTCATTTAGGTAAAGCTGAAGAGCTGCATGCTTCCTGGTGTCCCCGGAGTTTTTAAAACCAAAGACTCTGGTAATCAGTGCTAAGGGGCAGTTTTCTGGAAGTCGTCCTCCTTACAGAAAAGTTAGTCTTGTATCGAGGCTTACTTTTCAGTGGGTACCTTTGTTGAGCAGAGAATTTGCATTCTAAACTGCAAATCCAAACAAATGTGGCAGCGTGTTTTTGATGGAAATAAATTTTAAACCAGGGAGATGGGACCAATCGGTAGTGAGACATAGTAGAAAAGGAAGTTGATTTTGATGTTGAAATTTTGGTTGAAAATGGTGAGGGAATAAGCACCATATCTGACTATGGTGGAATCTGAGAGCAGAGGGCATGTGCTGTAATAGGAAGCAGTGATCTGCGTAGTTTTTATTATTTTTAGTTTTAGGGTGCAAATTGGAGGGATATTTGCTTCCCTTATTTGGGCTTTTCTTCTATATGTAAAAGTTTGGGTGTTTCTCAGTTGTAGTGTGGAATATTAAGTTCTATGAATTAGGGGCAGAATGAGAAGACTTGCTGCTCTTGCAGAGGATGGGTGTTTGATTCCCATCACACCACATCCTGTGACTGAACTGCCTGTACCTACAGCTATCTGGGAACTAATACTTCTTCTGGCCTCCATGGGCACCTGCCCATACCTGAATAAAAATGAAAAAGTCATTAAACAGGGTCTCTGTGGTGTGTGCCCTACTCTTGCTCATTGCTTTTATGGGGATGCTAGGAAGTCGATGGTTCACATGAAATTAGAAAGGACTTGAATATTGTTTTATTGCATCAAAAGTATACAGACATGAGTCAGCATGAAATGGTCAGTGTTGACAGTGGTTTGTATCTGGGCTTTTCACTAGATGCTTGGATCTGGTATAGAAGACAGTGAAGGATCCTTCCTGACTTGTATTTTGGATGACATCTCTGATGTCCTTGTGAACTTTAGTGATGGGCTCTCTTTATTCTCATTACTGTAAAGTAATAGTTACTGGAAACAAACTTGCTAATGGTTATTTCCAAAAAAAGTCCTACTGTTTTCAAAGGTGAATTAATTACCTTATTGGAAGGAAGCATGCATAGTTCATGGGATTAGAAGGTTTCAAGCATGAAAATTGGTTTTGCCATCCAGTTATTATGCCAATAATTGTACTCTGCACTTTGATGTTACCATATACACAACAAATACACACTAATTCCTGTATTTGTTTAAGCTTTAGTGGGTTTCTTTTAAGGATTTTTCCTTCTGTGAAACTTTAAAGTTTGAATTGTTAGGACTTAAAGGTGAAACACTTCTTACGTCTACTTTTCATAGCTTTTTCTGCAAGTGATTTCCTCTTTCTTGTTCAGCATATATGCTTTTAAAAGTCCTTCCTCAACTCCATGGTATATATCTTTTATTAAAAAAGAAGTAGCCTACTGAGTGTTTCTACCTCTCAAACCTGAGAGGGAACATAAATACCGAGGACAGGTAAGTCAGGCTTGTGAGTGCTTACAGTGGTTATCTAAAGGAGAATCACTAGAAAGGGAAAAATGGTTTCCTTTTTTCTTTTAAGGTTTCAAAGCCTGGAATACAGCACTAAGGAGAATGGTGTGTGTGGTGTGTTTGTGTGAAGATAACCATTATCTCTTTAAGCCTTTCTGCAGAGTTCTAAGTGTGTGAGGAATAGAACTATTTGTTGGAATTGTGCCTAAGAAATTTTATTTCAGCTGTTCTAGCATTTACTATCTTGTTCTACTTCATGAAAATAAATTTGTTTGCAAACTACTTCTTAAATGATATTTTTAAAAAAATCAGATTATAAAGTAGTAAGAATCTATTTCAGAGAAATTCTTTCAATATATTTTTATTTTAAAAGTGTAACATAAACTCTTTTTATTAATGTTTTTATTGCTCTTCAATCATCTAACTAGATGAACTGAATTGCTTCAACTCTTGTGTTTCAGGAGATTACCCGGTGCAATTGATGTCATTGGTCAAACAATAACCATCAGCCGAGTAGAAGGAAGACGGCGGGCAAATGAAAACAGCAATATACAGGTTCCGTATTTAAAAACAATGTTCTGTATTCTGGTTTGATTGATGCAATGTATACAATGCATGCATGCATGCATGTATGTATGTATGTATGTATGTATGTATGTATGTATGTATGTATACCTCCATAGTCCTAGTCTGTGTTAGTTGCTTTCAGTGTTATTAAGGAATTTCAGATGAAAAAAAACCATTGGCCTTATTTATACTTATTAGAAAAACTTTCCATTTAGAATTTATAACCTCTTAATTTCTGTGAGTGAGGTTTCCCTTTGGTTGTTATAAAACATACCATATAATCTCATTGAAAAGAAAGTGAAGGGGAAATTACCTAGAGTTCTACCACCTACGTGTTAATTGTCAATAAAGTATATAAAATGTGCTTGTTAGCGTTTTATGCTTCTTAGCATTTTTAAAGGTAATTTTTGTAAAATAGAAGATAGTTCTTCCTACAATTAAAATGTTATGATTTCTTGAAATGGTTTCCCATTTTAATAGGTTATGAGTAGAACACTCAGAAAATTATTGTACTCAAATGTAGAAAAAAGTTAATAAAAAGAATTACATATTTAAAATGGTATATTTTGGTAAGAATTCAAGACTGTGAATACACATTGCATTAGGTGGCTTTGCTATTTGTAAACCTCATTCATTGCATGCCAGAATCTTGTCATGTGACCCTTAGAAGTCCCAATTTGTGGTAGTCCCTTTCCTGTATTGCTTCAGTAAGTTTGGGTTTCCCTGTTCCTAGCTAGTAACATAGGCAGCACTGCACTCTTGTTCAGTGGGAATGTTTGTTCTTAATAGAGGCTCACATGAAAGTGATTTTTCCGCCCGTTAGTATTGCTTAGCACCTCACTATGTGCTGAGGTTAGGTCCTCAAATGCCTGGTCTACTTGCATGTGGATTCCTCAGGGCTAGATCTATACTAATCATTGCTATAACTAACTCCAGTACACTTGAACTTTGCCTGAGATTAAAATGTGGTACTTGCTGCATTGTGTTCATAAAGTACTTGCTTATAGCTTGGAATGCTTTGATTAGTTCTTACTGAAGGAATTTTTGGTAGCCTAGTTCTTGTCCTAGACTTTGAGTATGAACATTTTAAAGAGTAGATATGTGAATGTGTATTCACTTGTGTACATAGAAACATACATCACATAGAAATAGTATCCCTCCCCTAATAGTGTGAGAATTAAAGCCACCTTTTGTTTCACTTTTTGGAGTAAATAAAGTGAACTTAATAAGATTCAACTTAGAACATCTATTTACTTATCTTTCTAATTAATTGTGTTTTAATTTTAGGTCCTTTCTGACAGATCTGCTACTGAAGTAGACAACAATTTCAGCAAACCACCTCCATTTTTCCCTCCAGGGGCTCCTCCTACTCACCTTCCACCGCCTCCATTTCTTCCCCCTCCTCCAACTGTCAGCACTGCTCCTCCTCTGATCCCACCTCCAGGTAAGCAGTGGGGAGGGGCCTCTGATTACCTAGTGCTTCCTAAAGTGAAAACATGTATTTGGAAATACTGCTTTGATTGGTTATACTACATAAAAGTAACGTTTTTGTCTTCACTAGATTCACAGTGAATCTTGCTATTTATTCTTGTATTTGCTATTTATTATTGTATCTTGTTATTTCAGCCTCGCAGAGGTAGTATTTTAAAGTAGAAAAGAATAAACAGGTAATGATATTGACCTGTGTGTGGAGAAATTCTTACTGAATTATAAACTATATGTTGACTTGTGTTGTAAAAGGTTCTAAAATTATTGTTAGAATTAATGTAATTTAAATCTCAATCGTGTCATAAATGCTAGTTTGCATTCTTCCCTGGGAGCTTCAGGTCCTAGTTTAATTATAAGGAGCCATGCATTAGGATTTGCCTTCTCTTAGTAAAATGACTTTTCCACCATGTGTGGCTCCCACCTACTCTGCTCTGGGAGTGAGCTGCTTGTTGTGTTCAGTCCAGAGCCAGGCTGCTGCTTCCCCACTGCAAAGTGACAGCTCCTCTGTCTGCCCTGTGCCCTTAGCATCTGAAATAAGATGAGAAAATACGAGAAATGGTCTGTGGCTTTAGAAAACTGTTATGCTGGAGTAGAGGGAAATGCAGTAGGACAGATGTTCCTCTCCAAGGTAGTGTTTCTAACCAAATGGAGCCCAGACTGTTTCCATGTCCAGCTTACACCAGACCTGTGAGTCTTGAGTATGTGCTGTAAATTATACAGATGGAAAGGACTTAGGTGATTCATAATGACAATATAATGTGGTTCCTAAATATACCCTTATTCTCTGCAGAAAAAAAGTGATAACATGAAAAAATAATGAAATTTTGAATATGTTCAACTTTACTAGTCCTGAAGTTCTTTATTAATACTAAAGTTTTTTTTACTAGTATTGAAGTTTCTTTTTGAAAATTTAAAAAAATTAAGAATTTTTTACTTTTAATCCATAAATATTGTATTTGTTTATGCGGCACAATGTGTTTTGGTTTGTGTATTTATATTATGGAATTATTTTAAGCTTGTTAACATACCTTCATTTCACATACTCGACACATTTTATGAAAAAACTACTCATTTGTTTTCATTTGTTGCACATTTGTCTGTGTGAAGGTTTAGAATCCCCTGGAACTGGAATTACAGAGAGTTGTGAGCTGCCATGTGGGCGCTGGGAATGAGTCCAGGTACTCTGGAAGAGCAGCCAGTGCTTGTAACTGCTGGACCACCTTTTCCGCCACGATAAAACTACTTAAAATCTATCTTTCCTTTAAAGATTTTGAATTTCATTATGTATATAACTTGTGTGTGTCTGTGTGTGGGTATATGCACATATGTTCAGATTTTCACAAAGGCCAGGGGTACAGGTACGATCCCTTTGCACCTGGATTTACATGCTGCTGTGAACTGCCCCATGTGGGTTTTGGGAACTGATTGCCGGTCCTCTGGAAGAGCAGTATGTCCTCTTCCAGCTGAGCCAACTCTCTAGCCTCAAAATCTTTCCTTTTAACTCTTGAAATTAACTATAATTAACTGTAAGTGTAATTAACTATAGTCATTGCTGTAGTAAATGTATAAAACTGAAATTTTGTACCCTAGTAAACATTACCCATTTCCAGTTCTCATCCTAGCTTCTGATAACTTCCATTCTGCTCCGCATTTCTCTGAGTTTGTCTTTTAGATTTCACATGTGAGTTTTTCATTCAGTGTTTGAATCCTTGTGTCTGTTTTGATTTGCCTAGAGTAATGTTCTCCAGATGCATGCATGCTTTCACAAGTGACCGAGAAAATGAAAAAAATGTTTTTATTTACTAATCAAGCAGTATCCTCATAAGGCTAACATTTTTATATGCATGTTTAAGAGAAGTTTGCCAATGAAAGCAGAAAGGAAAAGGTGTGAAATAGTGAACAATACTTTGCAGTTATAGAACACTAGGAAACTGTAGGATGTTGCTGATAGGCAATGGTAGTATATGGGAGCTTTTCATTTTATCAGATGGCAAAATTATGCTCATTTCTTTGCCACTTTACCCTTGTTTATAATAACCAGTGTTAGGCTGGAGCAATGGCTCACTAGGTAGAGGCACTTGTTACCATATCTGATGACCTGAGTTTGATTCTCAGGATCCACATGTGAAAGGAGAGGACTGACCTCTTGACCTCTTCTTGACTCCCTACCTCCACCACTCCTTCCCACATGCAAAATAAATAAAAATTTAAAAAAAATAGATCATTTTATAAAGATAACAAGTTGTTGAATAATGTTCAGGTTATCTGTGACGTTGTAATTTATGGTATGATCGATTTTCCTGTAGATTAGTCAAATTATATAATTAATGCTCAGCCTCCTACTTTCTATCCATATTTAAGTAGTATGTAAGCACGGCAAATTTGCTAGCTAGAGTTATCAGTTCATGCTAAATTATTTGTTAGCTGAAACCATCTGAACTAGTCCTATTTTTACTGCTGTGTGCACTGTAGTCAGAAATATAAGACATGTCCATCTGTGTCTCCCACAGTGCTAGTCCTGTGTACATTTGGCATTCCCTGAGTATGTTAGCTGATAGAACTAGCTAGCCATGTATTTGTTTCCATAGCACCAGAGGTTACTTTCAGATTGCCAAATAGTACATTCACTCAGCTTTGCACAACCTGAGCTGTGTGTTTGTGTGGGTGCATACCAGTTAAACAAGAGCTGTATTTTCAGGTGTCGTTTGCCGTAGAACGACGAGCATACTCTGTTCTGTAATCATTGCCATTTAATCCACTGTAGAATCGCATGCATCTTGTAAAAGAAAGCTGTGTAGGGTAGGGATTCTTCCAGTGTTGCCTCTTGAAAGGTACTGTTTTTCTTAAGTCGCCCCCCCCACTTTTTTTTGCTTTCTTTAGAAATTTTGAAACATAAAGGAGGAAAACGCTTTTGAGACTTTCTTTAAATTCATTTTAGTGTTAACTTTTTAAAAAATTAATTTTCTCTTAACATTATGGGACAGATATAGTAATAATATGTCCATATTTTTCAATGTTAATAGTCTTTTCTTACTAAGAAAATAAAATGATGGGGCTAGAGGGATGGCTCAGAGGTTAAGAGCATTGACTGCTCTTCCAGAGATCCCGAGTTCAAGTTCTAGCAACCACATGGTGGCTCACAACCATCTACAATAAGATCTGTTGTCCTCTTCTAGTGTGCAGGCAAACATGCAGACAGAACACTGTATACATAATAAATAAATAATAATTTAAATAATAAAAAAAAGAATGACTACATGTCTAAATTTGCTTAGAACAGACCTAACTGGCCTTGAACCCATAGAAATCTGCTCTCCTCTTCCTCCCGAGTACTGGGATTAAAGGCCTGCACCGCCATCACTTGGCCTATCTTATGCCTTTTATTACAGCATAACTAAATTCATAGATATTCCTTTGTTTGTAAGTTAAAACTTACATGAGATGTCTGGAGGTTTATAAATATGACTCATCGTGTCAGTATTCTTAAATAGTTCTATTATGAACTGATAGGTCTGGGGAGATGGCTCAGCCACTAAATGCTTGCTGCTCTTGCAAAAGACCTGAGTTCAATTCCCAGCACCACATGGTAGCTCACGTTCATCTGTGACACAAGTTCCAAAGGATCTAATGCCCCATGGGGTCATGTATATGGCACACATACATTTATTTAGATGAAACAACAATCACAGAAATACATCTAAAAGTTTTTCAAAAAATAAAAGTTGACAGAAACAGCTCTCTCCCAAGACATTGGGAGAGGAGTATATTGTCTCTCCTTTCCCTCAAACATGGATCTGCAGACAGTTGTGATTCTCTTCAGGAACAGAGGGGGAATAGAATATAGGAGGCTACTTTAGATAAAGATGAAAGAGACTTCTGGAAATGCTAAAGTACTTAATATAATCACACTTTTAGTAATAACTTGAAAACACATTTATATACTGTTTGGCCAATGGCTTAGGCTTCTTACTGGCTACTTCTCTCTTAATTGTTAACCCATAACTATTAACCTATGTATTTTCACATGGTCTTAGCTTACTGGAGAATGCCAGAACCTGTTACTCCTTTGGCTGGCAGCTACAGTTTTCTGGTCTGTTTTCTTTACTAACCAAGTTGAAGTGGGTCTGTACCTACTAAGAAGGCTGTGTCACAGGACTGTGCACACACACAATAGCGTCTTCGGAATTTTCCTTCCCCGTGGGTGTGAAGTGCATAGACACTTCTGAGGGCAGAGGTCAGGGACCTTGTAAAGAGCAGAGTTAGATATTCTTTAAACCATCCAACTAAGGCTTCACTATCTAGTGGGCTTGTATTCTCTTATGTTTGACTACATCAGTTTTGAAAAAATTGAAAGTTAAAATAAATAAAATACTGTAAAATTAGGGTTGGTGTTATAGACTAGCTTATTTTGTATGTCAGTTATTGTTGTCAAATGTTTTAACCATTTGTGACTCTTATTTATCTTATTGCATCACTGTAGCTGAAATGTTTTCATCATCCCCAGCATAATTTTTTTCTGTCTTATCAAGAATAACTACACCCACCCCCAGGTGTTGGTCATCTCTGTTCTGCTTCCTGTCTCTGAATTTGCTTTTTCTAGGCAGCTTGTAGAGGAATGATCATATTTGTCCACTGGTGTTTGATTTATTTTGTTTCTGAAAAATCATTTGATGATGATTAACTAATTTTAGGGAAAACCTATAATTTAACTTTTAAATGTTAATTTGCTTTGATGTTGTGTTCTGTTGTATATGTAAATTTCATAGATACTAAAAGCTTAAGATGAGTTTTTAATGTCCTTTTTGTATGGCTACTCAAATCATAATAATGTCGAGTCTGTGTAGAGGGCGGGTATGCGCTTGCCTGCATGTGGTGTGCTCCTGTGGAAGTGAGAGATACACTTCCACTGTCTTCTTTAGTTTTTTGAGACAGGCTTTCTCTGTGGCTTTGGAGGCT